GAAGCCACCTCTTATTCTTGGACTCACCCTTCACGTTGCCTTGGAGTTCCCAACTGTATGACCACGGATATCATGCATCTTGCTGGTAACCTCAGTGACTTCCTCATTTCTCTCTGGCGTGGAATGATACATTGTGCCACTACAGATGATGTAACTACGTGGGATTGGGCAGTATTCCATGATGTGGAAGCTTGGAGTGCACATGGGGAGTTGGTTGCACAAGCGGGTCCATTTCTTCCCGGTTCTTTTGATCGCAAAACCATGCAATATCGCAGAAAAACTCAACACAAGTTATAAAAACTTGGGAATTCCAACTTTACACCTTTGGTCTCACTCCTGGCCTACTCTATAACGTCCTTCCTGAGCGATATGGAGGAACTACTGCAAGCTCATACGAGGTGTTCAACTCATGTGTCAGCACAGTATCACCATCGAGCATATTCGAGAAGCCCAAACACTCTTGTGTAATTGGGAATATGAATTTGAACTCCTGTATTACAGACGACACCAAGATCACATCCACTTCATCCATCCCTGCATTCACCAAACTAACCACCTTGTTGCGGAGACTGTTCGCAAAGGTCCCCCTATTTGTTATGCACAGTGGACCATGGAGCGCACTATCGGGAACCTTGGACAAGAGATACGTCAACCATCTCGCCCTTACGCCAACCTGTCGCAAGAGGGTGTTTGACACTGTCAAGTTAATACACTTCTATCTGCCATCCCAGAGCTCGATGAACCTTCAAAAGGTCTTCCAATAGGTGCAATAGACTCAGGAGATGGATTTGCATTGTTGCGCAAACGTGACAGATATGCATTCAGTCCAGTTGGAGGTGCGGCACAAGCCATACTTGACTATCTTGGAGATGGGTCGGCACTTCCTCGTATCAAACGTTGGGCACGACTCCTCTTGCCCAATGGACAGATTGCATGGTCTGTCTGGAGAGAGACACTCAAACCGTTAGATCAGACTCGCACATCACGTAATGTGAAAGTGAGAATTTCAGACATTTATGTGATGAATGTTACTGATGCATCCCAGATAAAATATCACGGGGAAGTTCGGTTCGGTGAAGTTCTATACTTCACCAGGCTTTCAGTTGAAGCAGGCCTTGATGATGATCAGTGACTGGCGCTGGCACGATGTTGCCCTTATTCAGATGTATTCTCATCCAGACGATGACCTTCTCCAGCTCTCCTCACATACTGTCACATCTTGCTCCCGTCTTGAAGATATTTGCGTCATTAGCATAAAGCAGATCCTAAGTGTTGTTGCGATGATTCCACACAAGCCTATACTACCTTCTGGAGTTATGGATGAAGAAGGTCGATTTTTTATGCTGCAGGAAGCCTGGATTAGATCTCTCAAGCATAGGAATCGCTAATGTCCCTCCTGATGACAAGGACAATGTTCCAGACGTAGAATAACCAGTAGACTTATAGAGCGTCCATTTTTGTTACAATTGCCAATGTATTACAACAGGTATTTATAATGAGGTATTGTTTCTATCGTCGGCGAGTACAAAATATAAGAGCGAGTGTAACATACATCGAGTGAGTGCAACAGTGAGTATGAGTGAGTGCAAAATATAATGGGCGAGTGCCAAATGCAACGAACAAGCAGAACATGCAGACAGAACATCAACAATCTAAAGAAAGGAGGGTTAAAAATCAAAGTCAAACATCTTTGTCTTGCGTCTTTCAATCTGCGCCAGCCTCCTGGGGATATCTGATGCACTGAATGGCCTAACGATATGACGCCAAGGGCGAAATTGATCAAGGAGGATCTGCCTGGTAGCGGGATCTGGGTTCCCAGTGATTTGAGACAGATGAATACATGGTGTTGCAGTGCCCAATGCACATGACCTAAAAAATGAGTGTATATTATACCCTAGATAATTGAGGACTTACATCTCAAGCTGATCCAAATCACTGAGAGCATCCTCCTCCTTAATTGCTGGGACATCTTCTTCGAACTTGATCTTCCCCTCCACTTTCTTGACCTTAATCCCTACATCTGCTTCTTCAGCCTCTGATTCATGCCTGGTTTCTAAGTCGCTAGTACAGTGATACATTAGTCCAATCTATGTCTTTATAATAATAAATAATACCTTGTGCTCGGATTTGGATCTGCACCATCATGCAGGCGGAAAACGAGGGTCTGAAAGAGATGTAGCACTATAAGCACCACATAGTAAATGGGGAAAATAAACTTACTTTGACTCCCGGTGTCTCGATGTTTAATTTGATGCAATAGTTCTTCCAATTGGGAAGAACACCATCAATCTCAAGGAAGATAACGTCGTCGCAGACGCTGATGCTATCAGTCTTATTAATGGTAAGAGAGGACATATTAACTGATTGATAAGGTAGAGGAGTAGAGTTTGCATAAAGGTTCTTGGACTTAGACGATCAGAGAGATTGCAGCAATTCCCAGTGGGGTTTAGATACAATATCATCGGCCTCACTGTATACTACAGAGTGTCTCCGTCTCTTAAATTTATCACTCCAGGATGTTTTCTTCTGTCGACAGAGGTTCTATGAATTTAAATGGGGGGAATTTCTTTCACACCATGCATAACTCAAGTCATCCTCCACAGAATCCACATTGGGGGCGAGAATTTACTCCTTCGCCCCTATCTACCAGCTCTACTAGTATTCCTGATGGGGATCTCTTTACAGATAGTTCCAGGATCCTGCAGCCTCAATTTCAGCCTGTATGTTCGCCCTTCATGCTTTTTCTGCTAACAAAAACATCTTTAGGGCGCATACATGCATGAAAACCAACAGTTTCAGATGCTGTGCGAACAATATAGGGCACTGGAGATGCAAATTGTGAAGGTCACAGCCGAACACGATTCTGTCATGTGCGTGTCTTCTCAGTTTATTTATTTTTACTTATGCTTGATAGTGCTGCATATCAATATCTTGCAAGTGCGGTTCGCTTCCCAATTAATGACCCATTCCAATTCAATCCTTCGTCGATCCCAACACCAACAAGTACAAGTAATGCTGAACACCCAAATCCAGAGACACATCCAAATGTTCGGTTTTGGGACAAGGCTGAGTACCTCGAGTGGTTGGATTCTGCCAATGCTGAACGCGCTGCACTGCGTGGCAAGCTCGCATTCCTGGAGGACAGTAATGGAAATCCAATTTTGGAAACCACAATCGATGCTATCCATAAAGCTCTGCGTGCAGCATGGTCGGAGCTTCTCATTCGCAAACTCGCACCTTTGACTTGGGGGAAGCTGACTACATCAGGCGCCCAGCTGATGAATAGCTTGATGGAAAATGCCTACCCACTATTTAAGCTCGCCAACAACGGCTGGAAGCTTGACTACCTCGCTACGATGTCTTACTTGTCTTGGCGAAATCACATGGACGAATGCGGTAATCCGCTAGTGGGTGGCGATGAGGAGGGTGATACCACTTCAAAGGGCAAGAAAAGAAAGCAGTGTATTAAATCTGAAGCACCTGAAGTCCCTGAAAAGAAGATCAAAGGTTCATCATACTGCAGTTACCGACAGTGACTAATACTGCCATTTTTCAGTTGATTGTGGTGCACTAGAGATTACCATCCTGCCACCGACTCCTCCGCCATCATCTATTTCATCTCTACCAGAATGCCCAACGCCATCCTTGACACCATCATATCCTCCCCAAGTGGAAGAAGATGCAACAACAACATCAACAATTCCACAAGAGTCCACTCCACAAGTCTACAAAGCAGTCGCTGTACCTGTTCTTGAAGATATTCAGCCTAAGAGCATCCTTCCCAAGCCTATCTGCGCTCCAAAACCTGTCAAAATCACAATCGTTAATCCGCTGTGAGTCGCCCATATAGCTTTATTCACCGCTAATGACTTTAAACAGCTCTACACTGGCATTTGTTGCGTCCAGTGTCACTTCCATCGACCCATCACTTGAGCTACAATCTACCAGTGAGCCTGCACCCAAGGACGTTGTAGAGACTTGCGTTTCTGCAGGCACATATGGGCACATTTCGCACCTTTTCACAACTCATGACAATTGGTCTTCAATGCACAACTTGCACCATCAGCTATATTCGACTTCTATCATGTCTCTAGTTGTTTTACACATAACGCGCAGCTTTCCCGCGAAACGCGCCATAGGCGCGCTACTTTCCCACACAACGCGCAGCATTCCCGCGCGCGCTTAGCGCGTTTCTCTCGCACTTGTCGCCCTACTCCGTATGCAACTTCTGCTATGTCTCCAGTCATTTGCGCATACAATGCACAGCTCTCCTGCAAAGCGCACCATAGGCGCAACACTTTCTCATGCTTTCGCGTTTCGCGTTCCCGCGCGCGCGCTTAGCGCGTTTCTCGCGCTTAAGTGCACTCCATCGCGCATCATCCAGGAGCATCCATCCATCATCCAACCAGTTCCTAGGTGTGTCCCTTTTCGTTATCAGACCATATTTAGCCTATTACACTTTGTATTTCGTTATGCACCCTTACTTTACATCACTTTACCTCACTTACATACTTAGAGTGCTCCCTATTCGGCTCCGAGCCCTGGGAGAGCGCTTAGGTAGAACTTACATACTTTCATGTTCGTTTTACACCACCACAGCTAACTACCACATCTTTCTACCACCATGTACTTGGCAGTTAGTTCCATGCAATGCATGCGTCCATCGTCGTCTTAAGGCCCTAGCATCAGTCTAAAGCTAGTGGCAGTATCAGTATCCATCTATATCTGCGCTTTTCACCATATTATCGTTTCTCTACACTTGTGCACTGCTTGCACTACCATCCCAGTTCTCTGCGCATTTTCGCCTTTCGCACTTTCGCCTTCCCGCGCTTCGCGCATTTTTTGCATTTCACTTTCCCACGCGCGCCTTGAGCGCGTTTCTCGCGCTTACATCGCCCTTTTGTCGCCTTTGATCAGGGTTGATCAGCATCATTTCGTGGATCCTTGCTTTCTTTGCTTCCCTTAAGGGTCGAACATATCACACGGCATATCAAGACCCAACATAGAGAGTGTTTGCTTGTCATCTGACTTGCAGTCACCTTTGTTGTGTTACCCACAATGTGCTGGGAAGTGTTCTTCAAGTTGCTCCGAACTCTACAAGCAAAACAAAAACAGTAAGCAAGGGACCAATGCGCCCAAGTCCCATGAGAAACGGACGGTGAGAGTGCTTATCGTGTTTTGCTCATTATGTGCTCACTATCACAATAGAAATTTGTGTGCGTTGCATTGGCTTAAGCAGATCAAGCGAGGTGGGAAGACGGACGAGTTCAATAATTACTATGGGTCACTAACACCAGATCAGCGTGGGGTAAGTGATCCATCTGCTGCTGTGTCACTCCAATTCATTATTCTTATTTGCTCAAATTTCAGAAATACGATGAGGAGGCTAAGATTCTGGTACTTGGTATTGGATCCATTGTCTACGATACTAATACAAGATCTGCAGGTTGCCGAGGATACGTGGAACAAAAACATCAATGAGGGCCATGTCTACTAGACCACATCATACTACCACGACATTTTCTGCGTGCCTCAATGCATTTTTGTGCCTCCCACCTCTTCTCTCCTCTGTTCATCATGTCTGCTCTCAACATGTTTCCAAGGCATGCTCCACCCGTTCTCAAACCGTTTCATATCAGTTTTGCATTCCTACTAGACCGCATCATACCACCACGATATTTTCCGGGTTCCTCAACGCATTTTTACTCTGATTTGTGCCTCCCACCCCTGCGCTGCTCTCAACATGTTTCCTGAGGCGTGCTCCATTCATTTTCGAACCATTCCATATCAGTTTCGTATGTTTTGCATGTGCTTTCAGATACCTATACTGCATAATACCTTCTGTGCAATCAGAGCATATTTGACACTATTCTGGCACATCCTGCAGTGACAGCGTGAGCATGCATACTAAAACAATCGGAGCATAGTTGAGAGTATTTAAGCACATTCTCCAAGGACAGTATGAATATGTGCAAATATGTCTAGATGTGCTCAACGTCACAAGAAGCACAAGGGAGCACATGGAGCACTGCCCCGTCTTATAGAAAATGTGCTGTGAGTCCAGATATTGGGCAAGATGTGCGAGTATGTGCTCTGTCTCTTGAGTGTGCATCTCAGCAGATTCTGCCCTATTTGGGCACAGCCAGTTTTCACTGGGTCTGAAGCTTCCTAGTAGTAGTAACTCCCCACCAGCACTCCCCCAACCGTAAACTACCCTGCCGGTGGGTCATGGTTACTGGACGCAGCTGGTCGGTTGTCATTTCGCAATTGTAGTTGTGCAACAGGACCTGTACTCTAGCATCATCTTGGGGCTGCATGGAGACGCCCAAATCCCTTTTCGGCTCGGAAACGAAAGAAACAAGTCCTCGGTGAGTGGATTTGGGGTCTCCATGTACCAAGGGTCCCGTTCACAAGAGTTCAGGTTCGGGACTGAACGGCAGCGGCAGTGTGTTCGGACTTTTTGTCGAGGTAGTTAAGGGAACCATCCGAACCGAGCTAGTTCGGATTCTTCGGAACCATAACAGGGTGCTAAAAACTCCTCAGGCTTCCAAACAGTATCAACATTTTAGAATTGAGCATTCCTATCAAATATTATCCACAAGGCGACAAATCCATGAGTGGCAGAGATAAGATGATCCAAGCATGGTCAAAGGACAGCAAGTTGCTGTTTGAAATCAAAGGACGTGAAGACATGGTGTCCTGCATGATTTGGGAATCATGCATGGACACGACTACTAGGTATCCCCCTAAAAGACAAAGTCTGTTAGCTTAGTCCTCAGACTAGTCAACCCATACCTTGGTATCAAACCTTGGTCCAATAGTTTCAGTTTTCCCTCAGTGATTCATGAATCCACCATGTTTTGAAGAAAAGTCATATGTGAGATGGGAATCACATAATGACCTAGTTGATATGAGAAGCAAAAATGAAGGTTAAGGTATTGCCTTTCCTTTGGCTTATTCACTTTGGCTAGAGAAACCCATAGAGAAAAGTTCAAAGCCTAACAAAAACCTATCTAAAAAGCCCGCGTATTGTGTACTATTATTTGTTCCATTATTTCTGAGTTGTTTTCTCTAGTGTTTCTTTACTTTACTTTTCTATTAGGATGCCCCGACTAATCAGATGCTTCATAAAATTGTACCTACAGGGTATGATGTCATAATGATGTCATGTTCCATGGAGTTTGCTAGAACATTCCAATGACTCATAATGACTCATAGTGACTCATAGTGACTCAGAATGATGTCATTATCCCACCATGAATATTCTGGAATGTTCTTTTGCATCTGCTAGAACATTCTGCTCCAGTTTTTGGAATATTCTTCTCACATTCTGAAGTCATTACATCACCTTTTTACTTACATAATATTCCCACACAAAATGTATATAAGGAGAGCCCATTCTCCCCCCAAAAAAATAGATCTCCCACTTGTTGCATTCAAGAAACCTCCCTCTTGAGCAAATTGAACTCTCACCTAAGAAGCTTCAGTCTGAACAAATTGCTGCTTACAAAGCCCATTTCCTTTGTAAGAACTGTCCAGACAAGTGCAGGGAAAGTGTTTCCCTTGAGATTACATAAGTTTCTCGCGATAGAAACCCAGTTTTGTGAGACCAGTGTTCTCACCACGTAGTGTTTACTGACCAACACGAGCTTTGGTCATTGTTGTTATTTGTCATTGTTTTCTATTTGTCATTTGTTGTTATTTGTGAGACCAGCGTTCTCACCAGGTATTTGTATATTGACCAACACGAGCTTTGGTCCACGTAGTCACATTTGAGACCAGCTTCTCGACAGTTAACCGTATATTCAGGAAACCAGTTCAAGTGTCCAGACGGTATATCCTAGACAATCCCATAGTTTCAATCAGAGATAATAAAGCTCCGGCTAAGTTAATCTAACTGATTGGTTTAGCGAGCCTCCCAAGAACTCACACGTTATCTACCACGAAAGAAGAAAAGTCGTAGACCGTGTTAATCGAGGACTGGCAAGAAGTCTTATCCAGTGTAATTGTGGTGTCATTACATTCTTACACGTATTTATATAAGACCCTCGGTTATTAAGACAGCGGCGACATCGTTGTGTTGGTCCAAGGACGGCATACACATCTTCAGCATCAGTAGACAACACCATCCGAAAATGGTGGTCGATTTATGGGAAGGAGCTCGTCGTTCTTTGAGGTAATGTCTGTGGCATCAATTCACTCTATCCGTTCCCAGATGACAGGCATGCTAGTAGCACATCCAATAGCTGCTCAATTCGCACCTGGAATCTCAAGACCAATCAACCAGTCGGAGACCCACTCTTGCACGATGACAGACTTTCGATCTTGCCATGTCCCCCAATGGAAAATACATTGCCAGGGCTGGAATAGATGCCAAAGTCTATGTGTAGAACCTGGAGTCAGCGCTCAGAGAGTATGACAGTGATCATGTTGGGCAAGTCATGGTCTACTTCTTTTTCACACTGCGTCTTACTTTACCAGGGATGCGCAGCCCCGTCTAGAGATGTGCACCAATTAGTATCTCTTAAATTCTCATTCATCTCAATCATTAGAGCTTTAATGGTGCATCTGGCGTTTAATAAACAGCCTGCCAACAACAGGCTTCGCGATTCAGAAATATGTCAGTGTCTGCTTTTTTTCTGAGCCCTTGTAAGCCTGAATGCGGAGGGAGGGAAGGTGTTGATGTTGGAACTGGTGCGGGGGAGGTTGCTACTAGGCCTGGGGTTAATGCTGACACGATGGATTGGGAGACGGCCGAGAGGAGACTCTGATGCGGGTGTTGCTAGTTGGTTTGAATGTGATAAAATATTGGAGAAAAACAATGCACCAAACAGACTGAAAAGCAGGAAGGGAACATCACTCACACATCGGTGGCTACCCCATAAGCACTTGTCCATGTGGAAGAATACCATACAGCTTCTCAAGTTTATAATATCATTACCATTTTCAAATGAGTGGGGCCTAGCAGTATATCCCATACCCCGGACTCCACAAATGAATTTGAAGTTCGAGTGTCATTGAGAACACGAGGACAAAAGGTAGTTCTACCAGCAAACTTCATATGCACCAACATACTAATCTCCTGTAGTCAGAGGAAAGAACTTTGGACGGAAGTCAGTGTTTGCCAGTGGTTTCACCAAAGCTGTTTGTCTCAGACTCCCACACTATCTAGTATGGGCCCTTTGTTGAACGCACCAAACTGCTAGTTGACTTACAAGGATTCTTCACTATTCCGACTCCCAGGCCTGGCAGTTGAGTTCTCTACAACTAGACTATGTTTGCAAGCATTAACTAGCTGTTCCGGAGACGCCTAGGAGACCGGCAGACTTGCATCGATCAATACTGTCTTGGAATCGAGTTAGGGAACTATGCTGGTGTGAGTTAAACCTACATCAATTTACCGTCTACTCAGCTATCATCCTATAACTCGTTATACTTCTTTGCACGTCAGCACGTCAACCTTAATCACATCTTATCGTCCCATCATCATTCACATATTCACACTAATCTTACCATGAAAAAATTGATCCATGCATTAAGGAATGTTGCAGATTGAATTTGCACCTTGCCTTGGCGATCTGGATCATGAAGGGAGATAAATCTGGGGTATGTAGAGTCCGACATTTTTCTGCTATCCGCTGATCCTAATTGAAACGACTCGGATATATTTTCCTTTTCGTTTCCAGTATCAACAAGCTTACAACAGGATTCAGTGAGGTGGTTGTGATTTTGTGGGTCCCATCATTGAGGAGTTGCCAACCAAATAACAACCACATCATCTTCTAGCCCCTTCATACATCACCAGCAAGCATAAAAATCAACTTCATTGCCGTGTCTGCCATAACACAGTGAGTTCACATCGTGCTGTCACAAAAATCACTTAGTTTATATATATGATAGAGTCCGCTCTGTACCTTGCCTTGGCGATATCGACCCTCCATCAGCAAAACCACTGAAATGAACGCTTAGCTTAAGCGTGTTACGGACACTTATGAACGCTTACGACTTCAGTAGCGCACTCATGCGATTGGTGGAGAGCTCGGACGCTGAGTCAACATCGTAAACTTTACGAAAATTGATGAAATTAAATCCTGATTAGATGTGAAGTATTCACAAGATTATCATATCAACCTGATCAGATGCACAGACAATCAATTGCAGAGCTATCACTATACACAGTCAGGATTCAGTTGTACTAGTACTACAGGCAACACACAGAAAAATCTACATTAGATCTGTGTGCATTGTATGGAAAACCTCCTTGTCTGAAAATTTATTCAAGTAATAATCATCACAGACCTCTAATGAGTTCGCAGCAGTTATCGTGCGATCCATCTTCGAACCATACACAGGGATCAGCTCGACGGCACAGGTAACTGGCTGTCAGTGGAATGACACTACCAGGTTGGAAGATGCGACCCATCCCATCCTGATGGATGATTCGTTTCACCCTGTACATCCCAATGCTCGGCTCATCAGCAGGCATGGCTGTGATCTTGAAGTATTGAACGTATAGAAGAGGCGCAGCTTCAAGATAGCGAGGCAAAGTATGGCCTTTCTTGGCAGGCAGCTTCGAAAACGCAATGCACTTGTGCGATGTAGACGTCTGCAGAGGTTGTAGTAGTAAGTACGTGAATGGCACAGCAGTAAAAATCTCACCATTACTCGCAGGCAACTGTATGAGAACTGCGTTCGCGATTCCCAAATGGGAATGCCTCTGAGGGCGGATATGACTGGACGACTTGACTCGGCATGACGATTCGTGACTGGAAGTTGGAGAGGAGTTGTATGCGAAACTTATTCCATGTCCGAACAGAACCTCCCTGGCAGGTCCAAGATGTTGTTGGGGCACCCTGGGATGCCTTACTGATATACTCAGTGAGCGCTGCAGCAAAATCAGGAAGGGCGTAGGTGTACTGCAGATCGGGGATGGTAAGTGACTTTCGATCAGGGGCAACTGTGACTGTGAAATGCAGCAGTGGCCTCTGCAGAAAGAAGGCCTGTTATGAAGTGGTTGTGGACTGGCTGTGGGCCGTGGAAGCGCTTCTGCTGACTTGGGAGTGTGCGGGCTATCCATGCCAAGGTAGGATCCATTTCTGCGACGATATTGTCTTCGGTAGCGATAGCATTGACAAGCGGTGTGCCATGCGTCTGCAGGAGCGTGTAAAGATTGAAACATCGCATGGTTTGGTCACGATTGAGAATTTGAACAACCTGTAAAGTAAAACTCTTTGCTTGACGACTAGTCCTTTCGAATGGAAACTTGCAGTGGGTAATCAGCAGCTGTTTCGCTGACGTCTGCTGAGTACTGTATCAGACCACCGAGAGCTTTGATAGATCCAGCAAAGCTGTGGAATAATTCCATCTTCAGGATGAAGAAGTTTTCGATGGCTCCACACTTGCCTCTCTCGAGCACCGGCATCAAGGATTCCTTGTTTTAAGCAATGAAACTCGTCGAGGGACTGAACCATAGAGGCGATGGATGAATCGGTGTGTACATGGGGCTCTGTGCCTGATAAAAGAAATCGGTGAGGGCACAGATAACATGGACGAAATTCGGGGGTTGCATTTGTCGCTGCCTGGCTGATAGTGGCGATCATGGTGCAGTTCGATGTTGCAATGTTCCCGACAAGTCATCTGACTGATATGAGAGATGCCAGAGCCAAAATGACGAGTTCCGAACTCGTTTATGATGGGCCTTGTAAGTGCATCAAGTTCCTCCTCCCCAACAACTTCCTTGCACCATTTTCAAGCATGGTCACCATAAAATTTGTGGCAGGTGTGAAGGAGTTCGCCAGGTAACATACGACAAGGATCCACAAACCTCCAATCTCTCCAAAACGGTTGATGGACTGCTGCTAAGTGTTAACAATTTAGCTTCGGCTTGGAAGCACTGGTATATTCCATGGATCGACGTGTTTGGATAGGTCGTAGATGAGCGTGAGCATGTGTTGGCCTGTTCGAGGGGGATGGAGGTCAGCACTACCGAAATCGCTTTGAGTAGCCATCATGACCGGGGATGCGTTCTTCGAGACACAAGCAATAAGTTGTGCCTCAGGAAGATCAGCTGTGTAGGCGACAAGCGAGAGTAAAGCAGTGCCTGGATATAACCCATGGGGTCTGGCATGTATTCACCAACCTTCGTGGCAACTTTGCATCTGGCGAATATTGTGTCCATACATTTGTGGAAGAGACTGGGAATGGAGGAGCTGTTTGGTAGTCTGGGTGAGCGTCGAACTTTGGGATTGGGATGAATCTGACACAACGCCATGCATGAGCGGTAGCCTTCATCCGAAACTTCGGATTGGATATTGCCGATTGTAAGAAATATGAGGTGCATTTCTAGTCCTCCCGTCATCCTGGTTACAGGGCGTCTTGTCAGATGCTGAGAATAATTGGTACCATAGTGGCACCTTCTGGAAGGTCATTCTGTTAAGGATCAGCGAACAATTGCACTTATTGACCACAAAGAGCCGTACTTGAATATTAAAAGCCATCTCACTAGTGAAGAATTCACTATATTCACACTCTGAGCCAGTCATAACTGAGGTGGGGATCGTACATCATGTGATTGGAAAAAATTGGGTTTGTCGAATAGATCTTTGATGACTTCTAGACCGTCGTGCCAGATGAGTTCCATCGGCCATGCAGTTTTGTAGTCGATAAATTCGAATGTCATTGATTGCCACTCTGGCCCACTCGGCAACACATCAATCCACCCAAATAACTGATCTGCATTCTTGAAGGATGGACGGGATCTACTAGTTTGAAACTTATGTGAAGTTCAGGCTGTTAGTCACGGTGTGGAACTGCAAAGGCGGATAAAGCTACTCACCCAGTCTAATTTCAGAAACTTGTTAACATCCGTTTTGTTCAGCTGCTGCACAATGAATTCTGCTAGCTGCCATTCGGCCTGATCGACAAATGGGTATGAGGGATTGATTGCTCTGCGGCGCTTTTGGTCAGGATCATGATCCTCCATCTTCTGCAATATATTCTGTCCCCGACCAAAAAGCTAGCCTGACTTTGAATGATACTGGCCAGTGACCTCTTCCTGGCCACTACCGCCTCGTTGGAAAGCTGGAGGAACTGGTAAGTGGTAAGTGGGCTCATTGCTCCAACAAGAGTGCGCCAGATCATTGAGATGATATAAAACAGCGAGGTTTGAGGCGAATTCTAGTTCACAATTCGGGCATCTTGCAGAGGAACTTACTGATCATGGTGAAGTCAATCAGTTACTGCTGTACTATCTGATGCTGGCCTAACTCACCTGTTATGATTGTGTAGTATTTCTAGTCCAGCTGCAGTGCAGCCCGAGTCAGCTTGTTCCATACTACTATCGGTGTGCATTCAACTGTTCAAGCTCCAAAAAAATTCTCTAAGTCCTTCAAACTCCGACCCACTTTGTGTTGCTTACTACTGGCTGAGATAGCAGATACACATCCAACTGTACTTATGGTTCCCGCATCCCTTCATATTTCATCGTCTGGATCTACGTCAGGATCCAGGCGGACGAACTCGTGTCGAGTCCCTCTATACTAGTTCTAACCCTTCCAAAGCTGGAAGATAAGGTCATTGCTTTGACCACAAATGTCCCATATTCAGACCCTGTCCCCTTCTCGCGCTCATCCTCCTCAAATTCAATCTGCTCTGGTCGCAAGTCCCTTATTGGCAGCTCTCGGAGCTCCTGGCGGGGAGTGCATCTTGCCAACAGAAGTCACCCTTTCACACGTCATGATGCTCCCACCCAAGTCGAGCTGCTGTTTTGCCATGAAGGCAATCCGAAGAAATCATCAGTCTGACATCACTCTTGACGATGTCATTAAGGTAAGCAAGTATTGAAGCCACTTAGGAACCTTTACTTAACTGTCACAGGGGCGAGATCTTTTTTTGAGCGGCCTCTCATCTTTATCGGATGACACAATCACATTAGTAGCAAACGCTAAGCATGCTGCACGAGAAAATAGCCGTCAAAAACTCCTGCAACTCAGTTGGGAGATCGAAGAGGCAAAGCTCAATAAACTGGTCCTCATAGCATTTGAGGAGAAGGAAAAGAAGCACCTGCAAATGGCAGACTCAGATTACTACCTCTTCAAGAAGCTCCTGGTGGACCAGGGACATTCCAGCCCTAGAACAGGATGTCGAATGCCTCAGCGGAGTCTCATGATAGTGAACTCGAAAGACTTAGCTACTGGCCGATGAACAGCTGTTCCAAATGTCGTCCATATCATCGCTTGCCACCAAATACGTCTCCCACAGGTTCCCCCAGAACAGTAGCGACACGGAGTATGAACCTGGTGAGGAGGAACAATACGATCCTGATCATAGCGACAATGGTAGCTACTCAGACAATGACAAGGTGGAAGGTAGCAACTTCTCTGCCCTTCGAAAACAAGAAAACAACTCACCTACCCTTTCAGGTTGAACATTGTCCACGAGGATGGACAGATGGCCCAGTGGCGTCAATTACAATACTTTCCTGGCAGGTTCCGAGTTCTTATCACAACTCGATTGCATATGTTGTATTTTAGCGCTCTGAATAACAGAAGCCTTCGTTTGATTGGCTATTGATTGATGAGTATGTTCTCATTGGGTAAGATCAGATAACTAACTTTAAGTCACACCACAAACATCGATGAGCAACCATCCAGCCAATTCCACTACCGGCAGGCGAAAGCCCAACCCCACAAGAGTATGTATTTAATCATGCTGCTCCCATCGCTCTCATTTCCTGACTGCTGTGTAGAAAGGTTTCCGGCCTGGACTCAATTCCAATCTCAACCCAGTGGGCAGCCAGTCATCACTCAGCTCAAGCTACTCGGCGATCATGCAACAACACCTGATCAATACCAGGTTCAGATGAATCCCTCCCTGCAGCAGCAGCCCCCAACAGTACCAGCTGCTGGCACCACAACAATATCACCACCAACCACAGGATCCCCAACAGTACCAGCTGCCGGCACCACAACAATATCACCACCAACCGCAGGATCCCCAGCAGTATGAGTTGCCGGCCCAGCCCCAGTATCAGGATCTCCAGCAGTATGAGCTGCCACCCCAGCCCCATCTTCAAGCTCTCCAGCAGTATGCGCTGCCGCCCCAGCCCCAGTATCAAGCTCCTGAGCAGTATGAGCTGCCGCCCCAACCCCAGTATCAAGTTCCCCAGCAGTATGAGCCACCACTCCAGCAGCACCAACTCCGGTATCAAGCTCCCCAGGAGTATGAGCCGCCACCCCAGCACCAGCAGCACCAATGCCACGAACGGAACATGGGTATGGCGCAGGCGCAGGTGTATGCAGGCGCATTCGCACTCCTCCAGGGTGAAGGATCAAGGCTGCCGTTGCAGCCAGATCTCAGGAGCGGGACTATGGCCCCATGGGGGGCTTCACGACTCATTGCCCTTGCACCCTACCATGTGGGAGAGAACGTCCGCGGGGAGCAAACCCAAGGCGTTATTCGTGTAAGTGATGACCCCTCCAAGCTCAAATACTAATTTACTCGCTATACAGTGCACAAAACATGTTTCAGACAGTGGGAGACGATGACAAAAGACGAACCTCCCCCCCCACACCCACAATACCAATGGCTGCTATGCCCAATGCACCTGCGGAGTCCACAACTGATTCAGCACCTATTTCAACGCGCATCGCGCTCAGTACAAAAGAGGTACGACAGTATAAGGAAGCTGCTAAAGAGAAACTTCGAGGCCTGATTGTTACTATGGCTGCTGATACTGATGAGTGCTCCAAATGATGCGACGCGCAATACAATGATCAAAACTGTGCTGCGAAACTGCACAAATTGAGCTCTATGGTCAAGGTATGTTTTATTTGTTTCGAAATCATCGACTACTGACAAGTTACATGTAGTGGAGATCGAGATGATCAAAGGGATCCATAATTATATGGTGGCTTCATTAGCGGACATGCGACATGCCCTCAAAGTACATGCCCTGAAGATCGTTCCGCTAGGCTATAGCCTACGTCTACCCCTATTTTCCCCACTGGACCATGTAGCATATAAACAAGGCAAGATCGAAACACTGCTGGATGGAAAGAGGGTACTTACATTTGTACGAGCAGCCTGAGGTACCTGTTAATTTATCGTTAACGGGACAGTTTCTCACTCACATTATCTGCAGACAGTTGATGGTGCAGTGGTTGAACGGCTGCTGGAGAACGAGGTGCTCATCGACATGGTTATTGAGGTGTTGATTGGAGGTTGGTCGGACGTCTTGGAAGGCCCAATGGATCGAGTGTTCGCATCCTGCGGCGCTGTGATCTATTGTGTCATGTATGCTCATCGCACAGGCCAATTTATTGATGTGTCAGTGAACTCATCTACCTTTGATGATGCATACCAAGACATCATAGCAATCATTCAAACTATCCGCGCATCCGATGTCTTGAGCGCGAGGTTCGATGGAGTACAGCAGGAGATTACCATCTGAGTGGCCAATCATTAGTAGCAGTAGCGTAGTACAATGTATTTCAGCATCGCAGATCAGATAATCGCACATATTAGACTGATAATCGACTGTTAAAACCATACTCAAGTAGTATTGGATCCGAAGGGCTTTGGCCTCAGCTCGTGCGCTGTGCCCCTTTCCCGAGTCTTGCCCCTTATTTCAGAGTGCTAGAGTACCGCGTCTAGTGACACAGATAAGTATCAGTAACGGATCCATTAAGGCTTCCAGATATCAAACGTATAGAGTGACGGCTAATCCGGATCAGGATCTGAACTAGAAACTAACGGGTGAGGACTGTCCTGAAGACAGAGACGGATATATAGACTATAGGAATCAATCCTAAGTCTCGGAGTAGACAAGAGTATTGTACTCGAGTCCAGACAGATAATGGAGGGACTTAGAGTCCTGACAGAATGAGTGCAATCTAAGATGATATTCGAACTGATCTACTACAGCGCATGTACAAGGGTTTATATACTACGGATAACTAACAGAATGATCAATAAGCAAGGGCGCGAGGCTATGTATGAAGTATAAGCAAAGTATGTGTACAGCATATCGGTAAGTCGGATGGATAACGAATCATAACCAGGAATGAAGTATAAGCTAAAGCGGATCAGTAAGTGTAGCGGATCAGTAAGCATAACGGAAGTAAAGGATAACCGGTATACCGGTGTACAGGAATGCCAAAAGGAGATGAACGATAGTTAGAGTTATATGAACAGGACATGAAATAAGAATCAGATCGGATCTGTAGACCGGATGACAGATATGTCCATCGGATCTGGATCGGATCTGAGATCTGGATCTTCGGATCTGTACCCGGGAATATGGTATATGACATCGATGCTGATAATGACAATCTCTTCCTCGCTTGCATTGCTTATTCCTGTTGGTTCCCCGTTCACATTTTTGGCATAGTTACTTGCTTAATGCAGTTCGTCCGAGACTACACCAAACAGGGATCATTGAATGATGCTTTCACGACAGTTTCATTCGTTGATGTCAAGGGCAAGGCCATGACGTTGCGATTGTTCTTCAACACTACCACCGTCTATTTATGTCAATCATATCGCTCAAACCAGTCAAATATAGTTGCATATATTCAACTGGATTGAGCGATATGGTGCGATTTGGTTGATAAAAAGGATCACGCTGTAAGCTCGTTATAATCACCCATTCAGTGCATGATCCTGCCACTGACCTTCAACGCTTTTTGTGTAAGCAAGGCACCTATCATGTACTATAGTCTGTGACGATGATCACATAGGAGGCGTCTTGATCACCTCTACCATCTCCAATGTTTCTCTTCGCTAGACTGCAATCGGAGGTGCGCAACTGTCGTTTTGTCTGCAAGTAAATAAGCAAGTTACTCAGGTGTCGGCATCATCTTTGTCAGTCACGATACCTGGACCACCGCATTTCCCTGACCTATACTATATTCGAGTTGTTTGGAACAGCTTTTCAACTCGCTTTGAGCAGGGTGGTGTCTTTTAAATGTCGCGTGTGTGAGCTGACATCGGTTGAGGCATTTTTCCCATGGTTCAGCATACAGGTGCCTTGACCAATTCATCCACCAAACACTAAAGTAGTGTCAGGGATGATATTTCAATATGTTCATTGGTTCAAGAATGTACGGCAATTGATAGAACTGTCATTGACTCGAGGTTGAAAAGGGCGCATAAAAATACAGCATACCCAGTTGACTATTTAGTAAGTCTCTTCTTCATCTGATCATCACTTCTACCATCTCTCATCACCTTCAACAATTCACTGACTGTATCATCGAGCTCTGTCAACGTGTCTGTAAAGATAATGGTATTTAAAAACCTTCTTCACCAGCATCATGGCTGAGTCAAGCACATCAGCACAATGGAGAGGTGGAGAATGGGGAGTGATGTTGAACTCACCAATTGTTAGCGCACCTCATTGGATGAAGGAGAAGGATCCGCCATGCTATGGTGCACAATATCGCCAGGATGCACTTTAGGAAGGTGAATAACCACATTTTGATACTATTGCCTTGCCTTACTCAATGAGAAGCAGGCGGGAATGAAGCGATTCCTCCTCAATGGCATCATTATAAGTTGTTGGATGGTACAATAGTATATCAAGATGACATACTCGGAATTTCATTGAACCGACCTTTACCAGGGGTGCGACTAGGTTAGCGAAGAATATGCCACTGGCAACGAGATACTTATGATGAAACCTAGACTATCCTAAATTACTCATTCCTGGATGTGAATGGCACATCTCACCATTCGGTCGGTCCTATTTCGTTAATCATAATACCAGGATCACATTGTGAAAGAAACCGACCCCAGAATGTCTGCCAGGGAGCTTAGTGCCGGAGTGCATCATTGAGGGTCATTCCAAACTCATTCGGAGCCTTGCCTGCGTTTGTACCAGTTGCAATATACTGAGTGCATCGGGCGATGGTTCAATTCGTCAGTGGACAACAGACGGAAAACCAGTGGGGAGGCCTTGGAATAGTGATGGAAGAGCATTGTGTTCAATGGCAATGTGTCAAGATGAATCAATGGTCATGAGTGGAAGCGCAGATGGCATGCTACAGCTGTGGAACATCAGGAAGTGCAGTGTGGTCGGTGACCCGTGGGAGGGGCATGATGGTCTGGTGATGTGCATTGATTGGTCTCCTAATTCTCAGGATATAGCAAGTGGATCACACCACAGCACCATACAACGCTGGGACCCGGATACTGGCCGACAAATAGCATCACCTATAGAGACCGGCCATGGAATAATTTGCACTCTCAAATACTCTCCACAAGGAGACAGTTCGCGAGCAGCGGAGAGGACAAGTTGATCCACGTGTGGTCAAAGGACGGCGAACTGCTCGTGGTGATCGAGGGTCATGAAGGTGGGGTGACGTCGTTCTGTTGGTTCAAGGACGGCACACACATTTTCTCTGCATCGTATGATGGCACCATCCGAAAATGGGGGTCAATTGATGGGAGAGAGCTCGTTGTTTTTCATGGTCATACCGATGCCGTCCACTTCCTGTGTTTTCCCCTGATGAAAGCCATCTTGTCAGTGCAGCAAGGGACTACTAAGTTCGCATCTGGGACCTCAAGACCAATCAGCCGGTCGGAAACCCGCTCTTGCACGATGATGAAGTCTGGGTTGTTGTCATTTCCCCTGATGGAAAATATATCATCAGTGGTGGATTGGATGCGAAGATATATGTATGGAGCCTGGAGGCAGCACTCAAACATACAGGCAATGATCATGTGAGTGTGTCTATGTGATACCAGCGTCTTTTCTGAGTGGGGTTTAATTGTCGTTCAGATTGCGGATGAGGGCAATGCAAAATCAGATGCCAAGCTCAAGGCAAGTCGTCTGTGCTTCCTTTTCGCGTTGTCTCTAACTGCTTTACCAGGGACGTCCAGCTCGACCAAGAGATGCTGTACGCCAATCATTTGTGAACACTCTTATTCTTTGTTTATTCGTCTCGTTAGATCTTGCATGCTAGTCAGGTCTCCAAACAGCAGCCCAACAACAGACTAGGAGGCTTGGCGAAATACGTCAGTATAATCTTTAGTGTTTTTTTTGGCTCTTTCAAGTCTAATACTGGTACAGGGCAAGGACTTCTGGGACGCTGATACCAACCCCTCGGCTCGTCCCGGAGCTCCTCCTGCGAGCCCATGGTCTACCCTTCGTTGGCACAGTCTGTTCAGTTCACTGCATTTCAACACTCGACCTCCAAATGAGCCACAATCAATACAGCTGCTGCACCGGCATTGGAATTTTAGGCCATTTCCTATAGGAAGCTCTATACGCAGCATTGAAGTAGCTCCCTGTCGTGAGGAAGATGTGAGTGTTTGACAATGCCAGTATCCGACTCTCTTTAACAAATTTACAGAGATATGGTATTACCCCTGAGACTGACGCTGAAGCGGCAGCAGCTATGCAACTTAAAAACAGCAATGAGGCCGACCGTTCAATGCAACCATGTCAACTTCAGGCCATGCCGCGGATACAAGTATCTCAAGGACAACTGACGGACACGCAAGGCTCGAGTGGTGAGATGAGAGAGGTTTCCTGTGAAGTTAGGTGTTGCGGATTGTTTTTTAGTTGTTGTTGTCCTACCTTGCATCAGTCATGAGGTTGTCCACTAAACTCTCTTTGTTGCCCCCTTCGTCACCACAGGACATGTAGAATATTGGACACACATAATCACACCCTTTAAATGTTCGTGACGAGTGAGAACCAGAGTCAAGCTCGACACAGATTCTTACTCACGAATATTGCATTTAGTAGTTTGCTTCGGACAGCCTTTTGGTGCATTTTTGCTAGTGCGGCGGTGTGATGGCGAATTTAGGGGAATCACGTTGGATCATAATATCATTGCACAGGTTAGAGACATAAGCATCTGTTGGCAACATGATAGACATCAGGACACTAGATGTACTGTAGCTGTTTAAAGTCTTCTCAAGATCTATAAGCGATTTTTGTTTGTACCTTTGATGTATAGTAGTGTTTGTTGGAAGCCGATGTGGGTATCACAACCTGGCAGGCACATATAAGAAAAATGCTCAGCCAGTATAAGTGAGTCTCAGCTCTGCCTAGCTGCTATACTCGCAGAATGCAAGAATGTTCGACCCTAAAGGGGAAGCAAGGAAAGCAAGGATCCACAGAATGATGCTGAACAACCCTGGTGAATGGTGGTGAAAGCGCGAGAAATGCGCTGAAGGCGCGCGTGGGAAAGCGGAATGCGAAAGTGCGCGGAGCGCGGGAAGGTAGTGCAAGTGGTGCACAAGTGTAGACGACGGATACTGAGACTGGTAAGGGGAAAAGTGCGGGTCTAGACGGATACTGATGGTGCCACTAGCTGTAGACTGATGCTAGGGCCTCAAAATGATGATGGACACATGCATTGCATGGAACTACTGGTGATAGATACTGAGTGGTAGGAAGCTGGTGTTGGAAGCTAAGGTGGGTAAGTTGGGTGTAAAACGAACATGAGAGTATGTAAGTTCTACCTAAGCGCTCTCCAGGGCTCGGAGCCGAACAGGGAGCGCTCTAAGTATGTAAGTGAGGTAAGGTGATGTAAAGTAAGGGGTGCATAACGAAATGGGAAGTGTAATATGCCAAATATGGTCAGATAATGAAAGGGACATACCAAGGGACTGGTTTGGACGATGGATGGATGCTCCTGGATGATGCGCGACGCAGTGCGCTTAAGTGCGAGAAAGTGCGCAAGGCGCGCACACGGGAATACTGCGCATTGTGCGGGAAAGTATCGCGCCTATGGCGTGTTTCGCGGGGAAAGTGGTGCGCTCTATAGGGAAGTCATAGTGGATGATGGTGCGAGTTGTGCCATGAAGGCCAGTTGTCAGAATTCGTAATATGAGCCCATATGTGCCTGCAGAAACGCGAGTCTCTACACCGAGAGATCCGAGACGAGGAACACTGACAGATCCAATAAAGGCACAGAGAGTGAGTGAGAGGTACGAGCACAAGCCCAAAATGGACCAAGGTGAGCGACGTATTGACGTTGGCTCGCGTCCTACCTTTATTTTATGTTTCACCCTTATATCTTACAGTAGTCAAGATACTTATCTTAAAAGTGCCAGTTGAAGCGCCCAAACATCTCAGTTCCTTTCAAGAGACTGAGATGTGAGTACGAACTGTCACCTGTATTTATCAAGTCTAACACCTACTAGTAGTTTACTTGTCCTTATAGGTAGAAATACCATTAACAGAGTTCCTTTCAAGAGACTGAGATTTTACTTGTCCTTATACATCAGTAAACTAATAGTGCATCAGGAAATCATGAGTTCACTTTTCTAGCTTTTTTAGCGCTTAAATAAGTGACCAGTTACTCATTGTCGCTTTTTCATGCTTAATTTTCGGACTTGAAAGCTTCGTATCACTGAATATATAAAAGAGACAAAACAAGCGAAAAAGTTGGAAAAAAAGTGTTGTCGAAAAAAGGCAAAGCAACATGAAAAAAGTATGTAAGTAATGAAGAAAAAAGCAAGTTGTGCTAAAATGCTATTTCAAAGGCATGATGGTCAGCAAATTTGTTCATGTAGAAAAGGGTGAATATATTGAGGGTGTGGTGGGATTTAAACCATAAACAGGAATGAGATGAGCGGATCAAAAAATCGAGTTGACATGAATCACTGCAAAGTGCGCATGATTATCAATGGAAGATGGCTTGACCATCCACATGCCCATCTGGTTATCTGGTGCATCACCGACTTGGTTGAACCAGCAGGCGACTGCACATGGATACTATTTGCCCCAAAGTTGAAAAGAAAAAAATGTGAGTACTCGGGCAACATCCATGCCTTGCATTCCATGAGCTGTTGGGTCAGTAATGACAAATACACAGTCTTTATGTGCACACCCATTTCTCCAATTGGGGGACACGCGAATGTGCTCGTGTTTCATTCCACCCATGTAGGGATGGATGGGGGTATGGGTAACCCCTGGGGGTCATGGGTAGGGGTACCAAGGGGTAGGGGTGTGGGTTGGGAATTCAAGACCCACAGACCCCTCAGGGGTATGGGGAAGGGTAGCCAAGGGGTACCAAAGGGTAGAGGTTTTGGTTGGGCACTGAAGATCCATAGACCTCTAGACCTCTGGACATGATGTGACCATTGAATCCCATTTAATAATATGACTACTACTTGTCAAGTATGTGATAAAAAAGCGATAGCAATCTACATTCAGTAATCTATACTTGGTGTCAAATATTTGTGGATGTCTCATATCATGAGCCATCATAATCATGTTGGTGTGCCAGTTTGATTCAATTGGTTCAGTATTAGGTTTGAATATTGCTAATCTGTATTCATGGTCATGAAAGGATTGATTATCTTAGTACATCCTTAGGCTCAGTAGAATTAGAAGGAGAATTAATATGAAGCTATGCAGAGCTTGTTATTCATATAAAGGATAACCAATTGGTGAGGGTAACACTTGAGCTTGAGTCCACTGCAGTCTGTAACTTAGTACAATATTTATTAGAATGTCAACTTTTATATTCAACAAAGAGGAAGAATATTATCAAGGGTACCAAGGGTATAACCCTCAGGGGTACCATACCCCTCATGGAGGGTATGTACCCCTTGTGGGTAGGGGTGTGGGTAGGACCTCCGGTACCATGGGTTTACCCCCGTCCATCCCTACACCCATGCCACTCAAATCGCTTGGTGCAAAGAATGTCGACACTGTGGAACTGAACACCCAGATCCTTCCTTCATAACGAGGACAGTCCATGATGTTTTCAGGATCTCCGCAAGGTGCATTTCTGGATACAGTTGCTCAACAAGGAAATCTCAAACAAGGTCAGGTAAGTGTGGGATGGCGAGTTCATCGGCTAGTGCAGGAATGGTCTGGGTGTGCTTTTCCCCTTCTGTACGTAGTGTATTGAGACTTGGAACACACAAATGAAATTTAAAAAAACTTATGAGATGTTCGGGCTAGTTGAACATGTGCGAGTACTGAAGTTGGTGCGTCAATATCTTTGGAGTCAGCGATAACATCAATGTCAAGTATGCTGGCAGTTTGGTGCACAATGGGTGACTCCTGTTGGTTTAGATTATACTCTTCTGCACTGGTAAGCTCAGCCTGTGCAGGTACATCTGCTGACAGTTCTAGCAAAATCATGATTAAATAGCAGAAAAAAAGGTAGAAATGAACGTGTACCGAGTGCTGCGAGAACAGATGTTAGACAGGTACCTGAGAGCATTCTGCGAGTGCAGAAATCTACCTGTGACACCGCCAGCTTGTCCAGACACTGGTTAGTCAGAAGCATCTGACCTAGCGCATTATATCGACTGGACCGCCTCCAAGGTTCCTTCACTGCCTTAATGTGCTTTGACTCCATGATCGAAGAGCACAAGCCATTTGGAAGCACTGAAGAGTCGAATACAATGCACATAGTGAGTCATTGAGTGTTGTCGTGGAAGTGAACATGTCGTAATCATTCCAGTAGTCTTGAAAATTTTGCGATACTGGTGAAAACAAGCAAGTGCAGCTTGGATCTCCTCAAGGGACTTCTCTGTAGGTATGTTGCAGTGGACGAGATAACAAAACTCAAGAAAGGCACTGAATGCACACACAACATCTTCAGGGACATAACCCTCAATTGCTGGCAGGTACACCTTGATACACTTAGCATTACATTATTTTGAGAAGAATTAAATATAAAATACCCTCATGAGGGCCTTTGAATCATCGCCAGTCCATTGTTTGAAGTGGCGTCCTTGCGGAAACCAACACAGGCTGGGAAAAGGAGGAACCACTGCGATCCTATGAAAAGCCAAGAGTGAATGAAGATTGCAGTTGATTAAATGTACTGTCGGTCAATATCATCTAGAATGATGTTAGCCTGTGTCTTTCCGTGCTCCTGCAAGAGGTATCTCTTGACCCATTCAACTAAATGATCCTTAAATGACCCCTTTATAATTTGATGGAGAAGGTCAGGTGCGAGTAACTCATGGATGTTGGCACGGGGGAAATCATTTGTAAATGGCTGCATATGTGTCAATTAGAAGTACAATTGAAACAAAAAAAAGGATATACCACGAGGATGGCAACTATACCATACTCTGCCCACAAGGTATCAAAGTCGCACTCCTCGATGAGCGCATCCACATGAAGTCTTGAGCATAGGAGCGTGGTCTCATCAAGGGCCTTGCAATGCGAAAGACACCTATCTTGGTATCAGAACAAATACAATAGATGATTGAGGAAATCTACTCACTTAGCACACCACCTTTGAACTATGCATGCAAGTAATACTTGCTCTTCATAGTCTGCAATATAAGGCCCGAGTCCATAGATGATGTGGTGATAGTGCCCATCCCCAAAACGCGCAACCTCAGGTGTTGTCATGCCAGGCTTCAGGCTCTTGAGGATATACAAGAGCGATGAGTGAGATAGCTGGCAGTGAAACTTTCAGAAACCCTTTGTCTCAGCATGCTGTTTGGTTGCTTTACAAGATGTAAGGACAATAAGATACAAAATCGACAAACACGTACTTTTGGGCATTGCGAGAAACCCTACAACAGCAACAGCATTTCAGTGGGCACGGCGTACATTGTTCTGGATGTTTCCAATAGATGCGTAGAGAGGATAGTAGTCAGTTTGTCCTGTTGCGACTGAAACAGTCGTTTTATCACTTCCAAGAATCACGGGCACAAACATTGAACCATGCGTGTCAGGATCCTCAGAAATCACATCCTGATGTCATCAATTCCAGAATGTTCCATGGAATTTGCTAGAACATTCCAATGACTCATAATGACTCAGAGTGACTCAGAATGATGTCATTATCCCACCATGAATATTCTGGAATGTTCTTTTGCACCTGCTAGAACATTCTACTCCAGTTTTTGGGATATTCTTCTTACATTCTGAAGTCATTACATCACCTTTTTACTTACATAATATTCCCACACAAAATGTATATAAGGAGAGCCCATTCTCCCCCCAAAAAATAGATCTCCCACTTGTTGCATTCAAGAATCTCCCACTTGAGCCAATTGAACCCTCACCTAAGAAGCTTCAGCCTGAACAGATTGCTGCTTACAAAGCCCATTTCCTTTGTAAGTACTGTCCAGACAAGTGCAGGGAAAGTGTATCCCTTGAGATTACATAAGTTTCTCGCGATAGAAACCCAGTTTTGTGAGACCAGCATTCTCACCCCGTAGTGTTTACTGACCAACATGAGCTTTGGTCATTGTTGTTATTTGTGAGACCAGCATTCTCACCAGGTATTTGTATATTGACCAACACGAGCTTTGGTCATTGTTTTTTTTATTTGTCATTGTTGTTATTTGTGAGACCAGCGTTCTCACCAGGTATTGTATACTGACCAACACAAGCTTTGGTCATTGTAGTCACATTTGAGACCAGCTTCTCAACAGTTAATCGTATATTCAGGAAACCAGTTCAAGTGTCTAGATGGTATATCCTAGACAATTCCATAGTTTCAATCAGAGATAATAAAGCTCTGGCTAAGTTAATCCAACTGATTGGTTTAGTGAGCCTCCCAAGAACCCACACATTATCTACCATGAAAGAAGAAAAGTCGTAGACCATGTTAATCGAGGACTGGCAAGAAGTCTTATCAAGTGTAATTGTGGTGTCATTACATTCTTACACATATTTATATAAGACCCTCGGTTAAGAAGACAGTACCAACACCAGGAAGCGATCCAAAAGCTCAAGAATGCTCCTGCTGAGGATCCGAAACCCAAGGCTGGACATGCCCTGCTGTGTATGTATTTTCCCCTCATCATGTGCTCTGCTACTACCACTGACGCATCTGACACTGGCAGAATACCCATTGCAGTCCCCCCACTCCAATCATTCAAGCCGTCATTCTAGCATCTACACATATTTGCATTTTAGAGGACTTTACTCATTCTTCTAGACTAGTTTTTTTGCCCTTTTTTGATAGTCTACTTTTAATAATCAGTGTCGTGCTTTTTTCAATGTGTCTCGCAAAAATAAGTGTGAAAAAGCTGAGAAGAAGTGGAATTTCAGTAATGAAATCTACTGAAAAAGTAGGTTCTACTTTTTCAACCTTGTGCTAAGATAGGACTCATTCAAACACCACCAACATCACGTGATGGATATAGTCACACTGCTGCACTTTAGAGGGACAAAACCGTGACATTAGCTTATTTCATAGGCTACACTACATTAAATAGTAATTGGCTTCCTGGCGTGACAACTTGTATAATCCCCCAACCATTCACAGGAAGCCGATTTCCAATTACTGGCGCTAAATAGATGCAATAAGATGAATTTTCATTCCAGCTAGCTGACTAATAAGCCAAGGACCACTGTCTCGACTTGTTAGCATGGGCAAACGGACTCGTGCAGACTCAGCGAGGAACACAAATCTTGCAAAGGCACTCCTAAAGAAGAGAAAGATCAATGACGAGCACAAATTGATGTTTATGGACACATACCGCAAGGGTTTGAATGGCAAGCAAGCAGCATTTGCGGCAAAGAAATATCGTGGCCACCACACTCTCCCCCTGTCCATTTTCGATGATCTCACTGAACTCAACTAAAGCACTTATCATATATTACCTATACAAGCACCTATTATATACCTCTAGATACCTCTATATCATATCTATACCTTAGGAGACAGACTCCGAGTCATTACTATCGCTGTAGGCACTGCAAATTTTGCAGATGGTCACACTACTGTCATATCATGTGATGTTGGTGGTGTTTGAATGAGTCCCACTGCAGCGGAAGCAACCTTTTTGAACACAGAAAAGGCGTGACAAAGGCATGAAAAATGGACAAATTTGGAATGCCTTTCTGGACAACGAATATGAACCTTGATTTTAACAAATTTGAGAGCTTTTGCATGGATGAAAAGTTTAACTTATGAGGCATCACAAGCTCCTACACATGTTTTATATTCTTAGACTTAACTACGACAGTCAGACATAATCGAGAATGAACTGGATAATTCTATGTGAGAATAGAAAACACTCAGAGGAGCTTGTGATGCCACATAAGTTAAACTGCTCATCCATGCAAAAGCTCTCAAATTTTTAAAAATTAATGTTCATATTCGTCGTCCAGAAAGGTATTCCAAATTTGTCCATTTTTCATGCCTTTGTCACGCCTTTCTGTGTTCAACAAAGGTTGCTGCTGCTGCAGTGTCCTATCTTACTTTGCATGCGAAATCGTGCGAAAAGCGGTACATAAGTGGGTCAAAAGTGATCTCGTGATTTCCTGATGGTCCATCGTAGGACTTCGCCCCAAACGGACAATAAACCCTGATTCCAAAAAAAGGACAGCAAACCCGAGGTCCAATTGATGGGACGGGATAATCTTCCTATGAGGTGCTTGTGAGGTGCTGCAGTTTAGTTGTGCCCATCTTACGTCGTGGCAGACGTGAACGGTGAGGTCCTCTGAAATCACCCAAGATTTTTCTCCTCTCATACTTTTACGAGCTGTTTGACAGATTGAGAGCATTGTATTCCGCTTGGCTATGGCAACGGATGATTTTTTTTCATATGAAGAGGCGCAGCTAGTGCTTTGTGTGGCTTATATTAATGATGACAGTGTCGACTTATGATGCTTGGTTTGTATTGACCGATACTGGCTGGTCATCACCCGATAAGAAACGTGACAACTGTTGCATATACAAAGTAAGTACAGTAGGTAAATCTAGTGTAGAAAGTGGGTATAGGTAAAAACGAATGTGTATCTACACCATTCCGTGTACAAATGAGAACTAGAATTTCCAACCGCCCGTCAATGCCATCACATTATCCGGATCAACAGCGTTCTTGATGGCTTGCAAACGAGGTACATTACTACCATACATTTTCTCCAAACTCGTGCCAGGAGGTGCGTGGTTCGGGTAGACAGCAACATCCGCGATATCCTGACCGTAACTTGTGAGTACCTCTGTCATATACTCGGAGCTTGCGTCGACAGGTGTCGAATACTGTGTCATCATAGGTCGCATTTTCCCAACCACAGTAGATTTCGATATACGAGTAACCTTGACTGCGTGACGGTGGGTATGCGGTCGGCGAATCCACGTGGTCGTAGAGCGTAGGCAAGAAGACGTCCACGCTATACGTGACAAATACAGCACTAGCGTTATCTGCCAATTCTGGGCCCCGGGTCTGAACAACATCATATGCGTCAACGGTGCATCCAGATCAAAAGGAAAGAGTGGTTACCAGTGTCTCATTCATAATCATGTCCAACACAGGCACTGTAACGTCCTCCATCGCCATCGAACTAAACACGGATCTGTCTTCATGTGAGCAAAGCAGACGGTCTTGTGTTCGACACTAACTCACCGAAGACCAGCAGTACCATTCAAGGGGAAAGACTGAATGAGATCTACATAGGTTCTGGTAGAAATGTCTTCGTAGATGGCATCAATAGACAAGAATTCATCGAATATGCCCTCAGGACGTGCTGGAGCATCATAGAAGAGCATGTTCGCCATCACTGCCTGCAAGGCAGCACATCAGTCACTCGCTGAGCAGTAAGCATAGAATGGCGATTGCCGACGCACCACTCCAGCGACATAGTTATATGCGTTGTATATGGAAGCCTTTGGATCGGTGACATTCGCTGAATAGTTGGCAATAGCTGCGCTTGCTGCGTCCCATTGGTCTTTCCCGTACGTGATAAGTCCGCCCTGCACACGATATAATTGTCAGCGTACAGTTACCCAGACTTCGAGTCCTTACCCAGACTTGAGACTGAGAATATGTTTTTGACGGTAACCGTTGTCACGATGCCCTGCTATTGTCAGTACGTTCGTCAACTGCTCAATTGGCGCTACACACAAAGTTATTGAATCCCCCCTTGAAATGATATAAAGTTAATATAGTTGACGTGATTAGACCGCTGGAAACTCACCCGCAACGCAAAGAACAGATCAGGATTTGTGGAATCTGTGATCTCAGCCACTGTCCCATTGGGCATAACAAGCTCGTAGGCTACGACACTGTCGATGCTCATACCATACTGATTAGTCAAATACGAATATCCTAGTGAACAAACAAATGAGCTTCATTTCCGTCGTAGGCCTTGGTAAAATCGTACCTCCTCCCAAAACAATGCCTCCGATTCCAATACCAGTGATTTTCGGTCCTACAACAGTCATGTTATACTTTTCGAGTGCAACATAAACATCATCCCATATTGCACCCGTGCCCAAAGTTGCCGTTTGTGCGGACGAATTGTATACAATATCTGAAAAGGAATACATCGCAATTTCGACGCCTGAGGTGGAAGAGAAGCCTGCATTCGTGGCGTGTCCTCCACTTTTGATCTTGGTGACAGTCAATGTCATCAAGATATAATGGAAGCAGGAGCCATTGTTACTCACTCCAAATTGTGTCTGCGTCTCTCCCAAGATTCGAAGCTGATATGAGACACGTCAGGAGGTGAGTGCTGAATTTGTTGGCTTCGCACATACCGCGATTCCAATGTCTTCAGTTGTTGCGGGCTCAAAGGAACACTTAGAAGTCTGACTACTAGACGAGGACCAGTGATAATTGTCCTTGGTATATTGACTCGAGCCTATAGAAATTTGAGTTCGCTGCGACTAAGGACTTGGCTAGAAGCCTCTGGAAGTACTAGACGCACCGCTGTAATACACTACGGAGCTCGATGAGACATTTGCTGCGATCTGCTCGCAAACTGTGCTTCGAAGGACATTTCTGGTATCGAGAGATCCTGAAGAGGTATCGGGTTTTGTGAGGCCAGAGAGGCCGAAAAGAAAGGAGAGTGAAAGGTCAGCAAATGCGACCATTATGATCTATCTTCGTACGAATAAAATTCTGCAAGCTGGGCTTTGAAACTTTTCAAGTTGCTCTATTTAAGTAGAACGCATGTTAGTCAAATCGCGGGCCATGTATGCTACTATAGCATGGATAAGGGATAGACTCCATTCTAACATATGGCATTGCCGTTATCGTTTGGAACCTCGAGTCCGTAATCAATCCTGCACTATCCCAAACCGAGCGCTCGATGAGTAGCAAGTAAAGTTGTAAATTATGTAGTACTTAGCTTATTTTCGGAAGCTTTCCCAGCCGATTAGTATTTCGGACCACTCATCACTCGCTCGATGAGCGGGTGAAGTGAATTTAAAGTTGTTTGCGGGCGAGCCGATTAGTATTTCGGAACAATAACAGGGCACATCACTACTCGCGCCGCAAGCGAGTTTAGTTCTCGGTTCCCACTGGCAGATTCTAGTTGCGTCTTATATAAGTTGTATTCATAATCATAATTTACATAATACGTGCGCGGACTCTAAAACCTACTATGTAGTCTGTTTCTCGGGCAAGATTTGAGTGGTATTTTGCAAGTCACTTCAGTAATCATGAGACATGATTGAGATCTTCAAAAGACTCTGATTATGGAAAGGTTCAGTGCGCAATAGTATATGGAACGATTTAGGTAGCTAACCTGGATTGTACATAGTGGATGACGATACACCGTGACACGTTGCGCCTCATGTGAAGAAGGACGCGGGGGTGGACAAATTAGGAAATGATTAGTATCACTAGGGGATCGCCGTGCGAACTGATGACCTTGCTCCGATTGCAATTTCTCAAGGATGTTTGTACATGTGTACGCTTATTGTTCCTCGCTCTTTCGCGCTGCTTCAACCAACCCAAAAAGACATACGCAATACATTCAATCGATAAGGCTTTCTTTGAAGCAATTTATTAGGTTGGTCTTCAGCTTGTTCGATGTTGTCTTCAGTTTGGTCGTAACAGCTTTTGATCGTGTTTGACACACTGATTAAAACGTCGTATCAGTACGAATCTTCAACAAAACCAAACACAAACGTGGTCAAACAGACAAATGTGGCTTTGGAATCGCGGACTACGGTAATACATTCAATACTGCGTCTTCAAGTTGTACTCAGTCTTTGGCCAAGCAGAGATCTATTGAACCCTATCGGTGTTGACAACGTGTTGATGGTACATGTTCAGTGGTATTCAGTAGGGCGTAAAGGTGTCTCTGTAATTTTGTACTTGATTGGTATGGCACGCATGATTGGTCAGGAACGCGTGAGGTTGGTGCAAAAACGCGTGATTGCACAGCATGATGTTGATGTCAGGTGACTGACAGATTGACCTTGCTCCGCAAGGTAATAGAGCGAGTTCAAATTCAGAAAACACAAGACTCCCGAATTCGAAGAGCCGATAGTTTCAACAATTATTCTTTCGCTGACTCATGCACTCATGGGCCGTCTGTCAGTGTCTTGCCTCCCAACACTTACGCCCGCTGCTCACTCCTCTCATCGATCGATATCCATGTACGTACGTTCCGATTTAACTCCCTCGTTCGACAAAAATTGATCTCCCTTCGTGAATTCTGCGACAAGGTCTGATGGAGTCACTATCAATCATCCTGGCGGTCACCATCAAGTTTCAACATCCGAGGATGATAATCCATCCTGCCTGTCACATCAGAATCTTCGCCTCTATCTCTCCTTATCCCTGCGAGCCTGAGTCTCTGGCCAGCGCTTGCATATCTGTCTATTGCTCCCTCCGACGTCACGTCGCGGCAGACATGCGGTCAGCCTACTATTTGAAACTGTCTCTTTCATGGCTAGAGAGCTTCTTCTCCCGCGCCATGCACCTCGTGCCGGCAAACAATTGTATCTGTATGAACGCGCTAATATTATGGCAACGTCTCGTTGGAAATCTAGAAGCGTTACTCATTGATACCGATCACTGATAGCAAATTTTCTAACCCAGCAAGCTCGTACATGTAATTTCGACTGTTATAGTAGGATGCAACAGCACATCGAGTGCAAGTAACACCCGGGACACGGTCAAAAAATTTTCATGGGTGGATGCAATACATATCCCGGGACATATTTATGAATGTATTGATTTCGAATATCTCACCCAATTTGAACAGCATTTGCCGTGGACTCTTATTCGGCTGTGTCTCAGACTCTCAGGTGTAATAGCGCACAGAACAACGAATAAGTATCTATAAATATATTTACTATATCCCTCCCGTCTACCCGGGTGTATACGCACCCAATTTTTATCCTCCACCGCGGTCATCGTTATCAAAACTCGTTACCGTCTGGCCAGCCTGAACGAACGAAGGAGTTGTAAATATCTGTAGTGTAAACATACAATACCGTATACGCTTCGCACACCCTGAGGCAGAGCTTAATTTTCATCTTTCAAAGACGGCCAGAGAACGTCAAATGTGGACAATGCTAACTGCTACCAATTCCAGTCGTCGTCGTCGTTGTTGTTTCTTGCTTGGTGGGTGCGAGTGAATCGGGCGTTTTGCGTTCTGACGCAGACGGAGACGCGGAGGGGGTAGGCGTGAGTACAGATGACATCATAACCCTCCCAGCATTCACCGTCTTCCTCATCTTCCAGCCAACCATTTGTGCGTGGGGCAGGGGCGTGAGTATGGGTGCGAGTGTGCAAGTACGTGGGGCGCATGCGTGGAGAGCTAGCGTTTGATGATGGTTTGCGTAAGGAAGAGGAAACAGAAGCGCCGGGTATGATCTGTGTAGGGCGGTGGTGCTGCTTGAGGGTATGCAGAGGGAGGGAAGGTGTTGATGTTGGAACTAATGCGGGGGAGGTTGCTACTGGGCCCGGGGTTAATGCTGATACGATGGATTAGGAGACGGCCGAGAGGAGACTGGAGGCTCGTTTTTGACCTTTGGAGAATCTGTGATGGGGCGTTGCTAGTTGGTTTGAATGTGATGAAATATCGGAGAAAAACAATGCACCAAACCGACTGAAAAGCAGGAAGGGAACATCACTCACACATCACCTACCCCGTAAGCGCTTGTCCATGTGGAAGAAAGCCATACAGCTTCTCAAGTTTACAATATCATTACCGTTTTCAAATGAGGGGGCCTATTAGCAGTATATCCCATACCCCGGACTCCACAAGAGTGTCATTGAGAACACGAGGTCGAAAGGTAGTTCTTCCAGCAGACTTTATATGCATTAACATACTAATCTCCTGTAGTCAGAGGAAAGAACTTTGGACGGAAGTCAGTGTTTGGTTTCATCAAAGCTGTTTGTCTCAGACTCCCACGGACTATGTTTGCAAGCATTAACTAGCTGTTCCGGAGACGAGGAGACCGGTAGACTCGCATCGATCAATACCGTCTCGGAATCGAGTTAGGGAACAAGGCTGTTGTGACTCGTGAGTCAAACCTACATCAATATACCTTCTACTCTATCATCCTATAACTCGTTACACTTCTTTGCACGTCAGCCTTCATCACATCTTATCGTCCCATCGTCATTCACATGTTCACTTTAATCTCACGTCAAACCGAGATTCCCCCTCTAGTTCTCATGGAAACTTTGATTCATGCGTTAACGAGTGTTGCAGATTGATTTGCACCTTGCCTTGGCGATCTGGATCATGACGGGAAACAAATATGGGGTATGTAGAGTCTGACATTTTTCTACTATCCACTGATCCTAATTGAACCGACTGGGCTATATTCTCCTTTTTGTCTCCAGAATTAACAAGCTCACAACCACGTCATCTTCTAGCCCCTCCATGCATCACCAGCGAGCATAAAAATCAACTTTGTTACCGTGTTTGCCATAACGCAGTGAGTTCACATTGTGCCGTCACAAAATCACTGAGTTTATATATACGATAGAGTGCACTCCGTACCTCGCCTTGGCGATATCGACCCTCAAGGGCAAGGCGATGACGTTTCGATTGTTCTCCAACACTACCACCGTCTATTCATGTTAATCATATCCTTCGAACCATTCAAATAGCGTTGCATCTATTTGACTGGTTTGAGCGATATGGTGCGATTTAGTTGATGAAAAGGATCACGCTGTAAGCTCGTTATAATCACCCATTCGGCGCATGATCCAGTCGTTGACCTTGAACGCTTTTTGTGAAAGCAAGGCGCCTATCGCGTACTATAGTATGTGACGATGATCACATAGCACGCGTCTTGATCACCTCTACCGCCTCCAACGTTTCTCTTCGCTAGACTGCAATCGGAGGTGCGCAACTGTCGCTTTGTCTGCAAGTAAATAAGCAAGTTACTCAGGCGTCGGCATCATTTTTTTCAGTCACGATACGCGGACCACCGCATTACCCTGACCTATACTATATTCGAGTTGTTTCGAACAGCTTTTCAACTCGCTTCGAGCAGGGTGGTGTCTTTTAAATGTGACGTGTGTGAGCTGACATAAATGTTTCCTCCGGTTGAGACATTTTTCCCGCGGTTCAGCGTACAGGTGCCTTGACCAATTCATTCACCAAACAGTAAAGTGGGTGTCGGGGATGATATTTCAATATATTCATTGGTCAAAGAATGTACGGCAATTGATAGAATTGCCATTGACCCGCGGTTGAAAACACAGCATGCCCAACTGACTATTTAGCATGTCTCTTCATTTGATCATCACGTCTACCATCTCTCCTCGCCTTCGACAATTCACTGTCCGTATCATCGAGCTCTGTCAATGCGTCTGTAAAGATAGCGGTATTTAAAAACCTTCTTCGCCAGCGTCATGGCCGAGTCAAGCAAATCAGCACAACGGAGAGGTGGAGAACGGGGAGTGACGCCGAACTCACCGATTGTTAGCGCACCTCATCGGACGAAGGAGAAGGATCCGCCACGCTATGGTGCACAATATCGCCAGGATGCACTTTGGGACGGTGAGTAGCCGCATTTTGATACCTATTGCCTTGCCTTACTCAACGAGAAGCAGGGGGAAATGAAGCGCTTCCTCCTCAATGGCATCAGTATAAGTTGTTAGACGATAGAATAGCATATCAACATGACACACTCGGAATTTCATTGAACCGACCTTTACCAGGGGTGCGACTAGGTTAGCGAAGAATATGCCACTGGCAACGAGATACTTATGATGAAACATAGACTATCCCGGACGACTCATTCCTGGATGTGAATGGCATATCTCACCATTCGGTCGGTCCTACTTCGTTAATCATAATACCAGGACCACATTGTGGAAGAAACCGACGGCAGAACGTCCACCAGGAAGCTTAGTGCCGGAGTGCATCATCGAGGGTCATTCGAAACTCATTCGGAGCCTGACCTGTTTGAGCACTAGTTGCAATATACTGAGTGCGTCAGGCGATGGTTCAATTCGTCAGTGGACAATAGACGGAGAACCAGTGGGGAGGCCTTGGACTGGTGACGGAGGAGCAGCGGAATTAATAGCAATGTCTCCAGATGAATCAATGGTTGTATCCGGAAGCTTAGATGGCATGCTACTGCTGTGGAACATTCGGAAGAGCAGGATGGTCGGTGACCCGTGGGAGGGACATGGCGGTCTGGTGATGTGCATTGATTGGTCTCCTAATGCCCAGGAGATAGCAAGTGGATCGCAGTACGGCACCATACGACGCTGGGACCCGGATACTGGCCGACAAATAGCATCACCTATAGAGACCGGCCATGGGATGGTTTGCACTCTCAAATACTCTCCAGAAGGGGACAAATTCGCGAGCGGCGGAGAGGACAAGTCGATCCGCGTGTGGTCAAAGGACGGCGAGCTACTTATGGAGATTGAGGGCCATGAAAACGCAGTGACGTCGTTGTGTTGGCTCAAGGACGGCGCACACATTTTCTCCGCATCGTATGATGGCACCATCCGAAAATGGGGGTCGATTGATGGGAGAGAGCTCGTTATTTTTCATGGTCATACCGATGCCGTCCACTCCTTGTGTTTTTCCCCTGATGAAAGCCATCTTGTTAGTGCAGCAAGGGACTACTCAGTTCGCATCTGGGACCTCAAGACCAATCAGCCGGTCGGAAACCCGCTCTTGCACGACGATGAAGTCTGGGTTGTTATCATTTCCCCTGATGGAAAATATATCGTCAGTGGTGGATTGGATGCGAAGATATATGTATGGAGCCTGGGGGCAGCACTCAAACATACAGGCAATGATCATGTGAGTGTGTCTATGTGATATCAGCGTCTTTTCTGAGTGGGGTTTAATTGTCGTTCAGAGTGCGGATGAGGGCAACGCAAAACCAGATGCAAAGCTCAAGGCAAGTCGTCTGTGATTCCTTTTCGTGCTGTCTCTCACTGCTTTACCAGGGACGTCCAGCTCGACCGAGAGATGCTGTACGCCAATCATTTGTGAACACTCTGATTCTTTGCTTATTCTTCTCGTTAGATCTTGCAAGCTAGCCAGGTCTCCAGGCAGCAGCCCGACGACAGACTCAGAGGCTCGGCGAAATACGTCAGTATAATCTGTCGTTTTTTTGGCTCTTGCAAGTCTGATACTGGTACAGGGCAAGAGCTTCTGGGATGCTGATACCAACCCCACGGCTCGTCCCGGAGCTCCTCCTGCGAGCCCATGGTCTGCCCTTCGTTGGCGTAGTTTACTCAGTTCGCTGCGCTTTAACACTCGGCCTCCAAACGAGCCACAGTCAATACGGCTGCCGCACCGGCGTTGGAATTTTAGGCCATTTCCTATAGGAAGCTCTATACGCAGCATTGAAGTAGCTCCCTGCCGCGAGGAAGATGTGAGTGTTTGACAACACCAATATCCGACTCTCTTGAACAAATTTACAGAGATATGGTATTACTCCTGAGACTGACGCTGAAGCGGCCGCAGCTATGCAACGTACAAACAGCAATGAAGTTGGCCGTTCAACGCAACTAGGTCACCCTGAGGCTGTGCCGGGGACACAAGTATCTCAAGGACGACTGACGGAAACGCAAGGCTCGAATGGTGGGATGGGAGAGGTTTCTTGTGAAGTTAGGTGTTGCGGATTGTTTTTTAGTTGTTGTCGTCCCACCTCGCATCAGTCATGAGGGTATCTTGCTGGAAACTCAATATTCAAAGTTCGCTCTTCCCTCTCGTGCATGTATCGTGATATTGTTTCGCACCGCACCCGATGCGTCTAATTTATGAAGAGGCAAAACAATCGCTTTTTGTGACTTGTATTGACAGTGTCAACCTACGATAATTGGTTTCTACTGACCGATACTGGCACAATGAAAAACGTAATGACTGTTAGTTGTACATGGTGAGTACTACTGTATGTAAAATATTCCCGGGCCAGCATAGATGAGTGAGTGAGTGTATGTAAAAACGAATGTGTATCTGTGTTCGAATTAGTACTAGAATTTCCAACCGCCCGTCAATGCCATCACATTATCCGGATCGACAGCGCTCTTGATGGATTGCAAACGAGGTACAGTTATCACCATACATTCTCTCCAAAGTCGTGTTAGGAGGTGCGTGGTTCGGGTACACGGCAACATTCGCGACGTCCTGGCCGTCAGCCACGAGTGAATCTATTATATTCTGGCCGCTTGCGCTGACAGCGTCGAATATTGTGCTATCGTATTTCGATTCTGTCCAACCATAGAACAATTCGATGTACGAGTAGCCTTGACTCCGTGAGGGTGGGTATGCGGTAGGCGAAGCTACATGATCGTAGATCGTAGGCAAGAAGATGTCTACGCCATATGTGACAATCCCAGCACTGGAGCTTGCCAATTTTTTGCTCCAGAACTGACAAATATTATGTGCGTTAACGGTGCATCCAATTCAAAGGGAAAGAGTAGCTACCGTTGTCTCATTCACAATCATGTCCATCACAGGCACTGTAGCATCCACCATTGCCACCGAACTAAACACGGTTCTGTCTTCAAGTGAGTAGAGCAGACGGTCTTATGTTTCACACTAACTTACCTAAGCCCAGCAGTGGCATTTAAGGGAAGAGACTGAACGAGATCTACGTAGCGCCTGGTAGAAACGAGTGCTACGATAGCAGGAATTGCCAAGAACTCGTCGAATATGCCCGCAGGGGGTGTTGGACCATCGTAAAAGAGGATATTCGCCATTATTGGCTGCAAACGCAACACGCAAGCCACTCGCTGAGCAGTAAGCGGAGAATAGCGATAGCTGACGCACCACTCCAGCTATGTAGTTAAAGGCGTTGTACATGGATGCCTTTGGATCGGTGACTGTCGCCGAATAGTTGGCAATAGCTGAGCTTGCTGCTGCCCATTCGTTCATCGAATACGAGACAAGTCCACCCTGCACATGAGATGATTGTCAGCGTACAGTTACCCAGACTTTGAGTCCTTACCCAGACTAGAGACTGAGGATGTGTGTTGACAGTAACTGTCGTCACGATGCCCTGCTATTGTCAGTACGTTCGTCGACAGATCAGTTGGCGCCACTCACAAAGTTATTGAATCCCCCCTTGAAATATCGCAGAAAGTTAAGAGAGTTGACGTGATCAGACTGCTGGAAACTCACCCGCAACGCAAAGAACAGATCTGAATTTGTGGCATCTGTGATCTCAGCCACTGTCCCATTGGGCATAACAAGTTCGTAGGCTACGACACTGTCAATGCCCAAACCATACTGATTAGTCAAATACGAATATCCTAGTGAACCAACAAAATGAGCTTCATTTCCGTTGCGGGTCTTGGTAAAACCATACCTCCTCCCAGAGTAATGCCACCTATTCCAATGCCAGTGATTTTCGGCCCTACGACAGTCATGTTATACGGTTCAAGCGCAACATAAACATCATCCCATATTAAACCCATGCCCAGAGTTAGCTGTTTGTGTAGTCGAATTGTACACGACATCTGAAAAGGAATACAACGCAATTTCGACGCCTGGTGTTGATGAGAAGCCTGCATTCGTGGCGTGTCCTCCACTTTTAACCTTCGTGAGAGTCAGTCATTAAAATATAAGAGAAGCCAAAGCCATTGTTACTCACTCCAAATGGTGTCTGCGTCTCTCCCAAAATTCGGAGCTAATATGAAAGACACATCAGGAGATGAGTACTGGATTTGTTCGCCTTGGACATACCGCGATTCCAACGTCTTCAGCTGTTGCAGGCTCAAAGGAACATTCAGAGGCCTGATTACTAGACGCAGACCAGTGATAATTGTCCTTGATATATTGACTCTCGCCTGTCACAATTTGGGCTCAGTGCCACCAAGGACTTGACTGGAAGTAGTACGCACCGGCATAATACACTACGGAGCTCGACGAGACTGCCGCTTGCGATCTGCTCGCAAACTGTGCTTCGAACTTGGACAGTTCCTGTAGTACAGGCTGCATCGAGAGATCCTGAAGAAGTATCGCGTGTGGTGAGGCCAGAGAGGCCGGTAAGAAAGGAGAGTGAAAGGTCAGCAAAAGCGACCATTATGATTTACGTCCCGGAATAAGAATTTGAAAACTGACCATGGTAAACTTTTCAAATGGCTCTATTTAAGTACTAGTGGGACGCTATATTAGATGCCGGAACGTGGCCAGGCCTTATGTACATACTTACGCGACTATCAATTATGCGTTCAACGTTTCGCATCTCCGGCGGGACAAGGCCACCTACATATACACTCCGACAGCCTGAGAAGGCTTTCGTAAGTGACTAGTTGCCATTTCAAGGTGGCACACCTGTCATACGCGGTACTACATGGCTGTCTGGTCAATTCTAAGATATGAGCAAGTGTATACGACATCATGGTCATATCGAAGTGCCTCAAATGCCGCAAAAACAGCTAGAACTTGAGAGGGAACGTGGGATGACAATTGAAGCTGACTTCGATATTGACGCTTGAAGCGGAAATGATTCTTTGATTGAGAAGTGATACCATGCAGAACGCACTGACTTCAGACTCAGCCTATGATATATGACATACGTATAAAAGTAAGTTTGATCACATCCAGTGCCCGACTTACTCCTTAACTTAACTGCAGGAACATCATGATCCTACTCGCGCCGCCGTAAGCAAATTTGGTTTGATTGGCAACTCGGCCGAGCTTCATTTGACTCTATGAAACGAAATTTTACGATTCTACGGACAGTACTACTGGATGACTAGTTGACGTTCTTGCGATGGACCAGGTATGATTTCGTTACCGTTTAAAATTCAACAACAGTCTAGCCTCCCTATATAAACTCATACTTTGCCTTTCTTACGACCATCAGTTGCATCATCGGTGATATCCGCTGATATGATCATCTTACCGTGCGGTACCTGCGCAGGCTCCGTCGTCTAGCGCCGTTCGATACTACTTATACTACCGCTCCTGCACTTTCACGCGCACGGATGGGCCTCGTATGCTTTCGCATATATTGTTTCTATAGGCACTGGTTTGGACTCTGTGATGACTCTAGTAATCTCCGAGCCTGACACTAGCGCTCGCCAAGGGACAGCGGTGCTTCCTTCAAGTTATGTTTCAACATCATCATCACGTACGACGGCCAACTGGTGTCCAATGCGATTGTCCCCTCGAAAAATTAATAGATAATCCGGTGGCAGGCTCCGAACCGGCAGTGCAACTTGCTGATTCGAATCAGAAACTAGTGCGGGATTTGAGACTTCCGTGACAAAGTCTGATGCATTGATGTGTCACTATCATCCGATCACTCGGAGCAAATTTTCTATGGTGCATTTCACTTAGAGGCCGCTTACTTTGTGCAACGGGCGCCTAACCGCCAAATTGACCCTCGAAAAAAAACTATTAGCCAAGAAAAAAATCGAAATAAACTGGCGAAAACTGTTGCAATAAACGCATTCTCGAACGTCAGCCTGACTTCTGCGAGCAGAAGACTTTCACTTATTCAAGAAATCATTGAAGCCGCAGGACAATTATGCATTTTTTTTGCCTAAATTTCATTGCGAGTTGAATTTTATTGAATTCTTTTGGGGTGCAGTGAAGAAATACCTTCGTGATAATTGCGATTACACGTTTGCGACGCTGAAGGAGAACATGCCCAAGGCGCAATTGCATCTGTTCAGCGCAGTACAGTCCTGTGTATGGGAACATCGTATGTACCAGTGGATGGAGGCATACCGGTCAGGTTTGGGCACAACAGAAGCTCAAATCCACAAGACATTCAGTTCTCGCGAGTATAAGTCCCACATACGTATTCCAGACACTGTAGCACATGCTCTCAATGCAGTATAACCGTCTTCTGGTACATACCCGCCAATTTGGACCTCTCAAAAACTTTACAACTCCCTCAGTTTTCAAGTAAATGAAAATCGCTTCAGAGGAAATGTTTGTACTGTCAAAAGGAGTGTTTTCTACTGAAGGAATAAGTCAGGTCTTTTTTTTTTGACGGACGTAGAAATTTTGCACAAAGTAAGCGGCCTCTAAGTGAAATGCACTCGGCATAACCCAACAACTCGTCGACTGTACATACATGCAATTCATTTCGACTATTGTGATGCTGAGCCACTCGCAAGTTTGGTTTGATTGGCAACTCGGCCGAGCTTCATCGTCGACGCCGAGCTATCATTTTGTTTGGAATTAATTAGAGATTAGAGTCTAGATGGCCATGTACATTGGAGGTCGCACTTCTTAAAGTGCTTCTCCCATGGGACCGACGCGGTGGCGGACGGAATTCTAAGCTTGCGTCATTTCAAGGTACGAATTCGAACTCGGCCTTACATATTGTCGCTGAGGGTCCGCTTACGTATTTCATTTACAAGATTAGATGCCCTTGCAAGTTGCAAGACCACATCTTTGTACCCACCAGTTGCCTTGCCTCCCAACACTGCGCCCGCTGCTCACCTCCTCTATGTACATTCCGATTCAGTTCAATATAACGTATACCCTCCCTCGACAAAAAGTAGCCCGTGACAAAGTCTGATATCGCTTATATCATCCCTGCGCCAACCGTCCGCCCCAGCATCTATCTACTAGTAGTTGCCTGCTTGCCATCAGAATCTTTACTTATCCCTTGTCAGTCTCTCACGCTTGCCTGTCTGTTTACTACTCCCTCCGACGGCGAGGTCATCTGGAACTGCCTCCTTCATCACTTTTCTCATGTCTCTCATGCACTTGTGAATTATCTCACCCCCCGCCATGCGCCTTGTGACAATTATATCTACACGAACGCCATATAAGTCTCTTTGAAAATCTAGCGCTACTCATTGATACCGATCACTCAATTCTAACCCAGCAAACTCGTTGACCGTACATGCAATTTTGACTGTTATGATGCAACAACAGTAATACCGCACAGGACAAAAAAATAATACAACGATATACACGATACGCCTCCGTTTACGCTTCCATTTTTTAATCCTCCACCGCTGTCATCGTCATCAAAGCAGAGCCTAATTTTCATCTTCCAAAACGGCCAGAGAACCTCAAAAGCGGACAACGGTAACGTTACCAATTCCAGTCGTCGTCATCGAAACTTGTTGTCGCTGTTTCTTTTTTGGCGGGGCGCGAGTGAATTGGGCGTTCTGTGTACTGGCGCAAATGCAGACGCGGAGGGAGAGGTGGGTGTAAGCACAGATGTCATCATAACTCTCCCAGCATTCACCGATCATCTTCCTCATCTTCCAGTCAACTGTTTGTACGCGGGGCTGGGGACATGAGTATGGGTACGAGCGTGCAGGTACGTGGGGCGCGTCAGGGAGAATTCGCACTTGGTGATGGTGCGTGTAAGGAGGTACTGCTAGCTTGAAGGGTGCGAAGGGAAAAAGGGAAGTTGGTTGATGTTTGTATTGATGTTGGAACTAGGTGCGGGGGGAGGTTGCTACTGGGCCTGGGGTTAATGCTGATACGATGGATTGGGAGACGTCTGAGAGGAGGGCTGGAGGCTCGTTTTTGGCTTTTGGAGAATCTGTGATGGGATGTTAGTTTGAATGTGATGAAATATCGGAAAAAAGCGGTGATGAATGCGCCAAACAAACTAAAAGGCGAGAAGAGAACATCACTCACACATCACCTCCAAGCTTGCAACCGACGTTCCCCCCATCCACCACCAGCTACCGCGAGCGAACCGGCGCCAGGTATTGATGAAGGCGGTGTTAGGGAGGAGCGTTTACTACGGAGCGTATCTTTGCTTGGTGTCTCCGAAGACTCTGCACCATCTGCATCGAATTCTGGAGCCACTGCTGTAACGGACGCGTCTATTCCCGGGTTGAATGTACCCTGAACTACCTCTGTAGTCGAGTCCAGTTCCACGCTGCCTCGCCCGAGGTCCACACTCAGAGTGCTCGTGCTATTATAGGAAGTGGCATGCCTCGTAAATGCCGTTGGCTGAGGATGCGCGATCTCCGACGGAAGACTTTCTCCTGTCTTGCTTTTGACACTTCGTTGTCTCGTGCTTGTTTCGTGACATGTCGTTCGCTGTTTTCCGCGCCGATGCCAGGCTCCTTCCCATCCGCTGGTTCGAGTGTGGAGGGGCGAACTGTGAGTGACTTGCTAAGTTGAATCAATCACGTGCTCCAACAAAAATTGAAACCCAGCCCAAATTTAATTCCCCTCACACTCTCACCAGTGGCTGGAAGATACTATTATGGTACGCGCAATTGGCAGCCCCCAGAAGTCGGCACTTTCACAAAACTCGTGTTTCCAGCTACCTAAACACAAAATTCTTTACATAGACATCATTCTCTCTCTAACACAACTCAATATGAGGTCAAACGAATACATTTGAAGCAGAATTGAATGAGATAGCTGAAAGTGCCGAAGTCACGCAGAAATGTCACCTGCTGATATATGCCGTGATGGAGTTTCAATACTGCACCACCTGACCTTCCCAATAAGTAACTATAATAATAGTAGCCAATAACATGTCTCGCCAATTATCACATTAGTCTTTTGCTCAAATCCTCTACACCAGCGATAAATCCTGCCCCAAATACTGCAGGATGTCCTTAGATATACCTGCATATAAGTATCGGCACAGGGTAATTCGGGTAAGTACATTCCGTTCCGTTCTATTACTTATCCGGTAACCCCCGCTTCCTTGCCAAACCTCCCGCTCCTCCTAGAAACTATTCCCACGCTGTTCTCTTTCCCTCCTCATCGTCCTCTTCAGCATCAAGCCACTTGCCGGCATTCTATAAGTGGACCTACTCGATGTATAACCATGGTTCCTCCTCCAGAAAGGTCTCCAGCTTGTCCTGCTGTCTCGTTCAACAAGTGGAAGCTATCAGTACAGGCAAGTATGCACTGCCAAGGATAGAGGGAGCCCAATGTGAGATAATACAACAAGCTTGGGTGAGTTTGACGAGCAGACTATCATTCCATACATTTTGACCACCATCAATAACACAGAGCTTGCTTTCAAGCTTGCCAGTCGTGCAAATCTCCCTGGCGCAGATGACCTCACAAGCAGACCATCATTCCGTACATTTTGACCACCCTCAATAACACGGCGCTTGCGTTCAAGCTTGCCAGTCGTGCAAATCTCCCTAACACAAATGACCTCTACATTAAGCAGTACCAGCAAGTGTTCTCATTCATTTCCCTATTCATTGTGTCTTGTAGTACCACCTTGCCCTTACAATATGATGTACAAACTCTGGTTAATGACAATCAATTCTCATTCTACCGGTATAGGAGGCCATGTGTATGAGCAAAGTCAAGAGTAAGTCTAAGTAAGGCAAAATCTTCAGAGATAAGCTCTAAAACGACGAATTGTAACTCTGGGCAGGCATCGCCAAATCAGATGAAAAGAAGTCAGGAATCAAACCACTGGCGACCATAGAGTCTAACTTTTTGAGAGCTCGGTCCAATTCAGCATCAGTAAAGAGGGGAAATTGATCATCAATATTAGCAGGTGCAGCTCCAGAAGCAGACGAAGTAGAGATAGATGGCTCGAGGATGTCTCGTGAAACAGCCGAAGGGCCAAAATAGAGGCGTCTGATGAGGGAGCGTGTGGCATACTATCGCGCTTCTCATCACTCTCAACAGTATCCGCGCTTTTGTATGCCTTCTTCTTATGTGTAGAAGGGTTGTCCGATGTTCGGGTACACTTTTTTCCCTTGTCCGAGCACTGACGACAGGTGCGCTCAACGATCTCCCCATTGTCAATCTTCTGAAGGCGCTCTTGAAGAAGCTGTTGATATTCTTCCTCCTCTAGGTGTCTCCATTTAATGGCACCACTTTCCCACTTGTCCTGGAGCATCTTGAGCTCGGGAAGAGAACTAGATGCTTCACTCAAGTTCTTGAAGGGGACAGTTGAGGGCCAGCCCTCACAAACAATGCAATAGCATTGAACAATGTTGCGCCAATATTCTGTCCATTGCATCGTGGCCTGCGGATTACCTGTAATTTCCTCTGAAAATGATTGTTAGAATACAACTTGTTTAAATATCAAATGACTTACGAAGTTTCTGGTTGATGATATGTCTGGTTTCACCACGAGCCTTTGAACAACAGTCCTGATGACTTTTGGCTGCGCCTGCCATAAGATCATAAGTGTTTGATGTTGAAATATCAAGACCAAAAAACTTGCCTTGCATGCCTTGCATGGCATATCCTTCCATCTTACTCATAAGGTCTTGGCTATCGATGTTCATCATCGACTCCATGAAATTATCAACTCCTTCGGTATTAAATGTGATACCTCTTAGTGCGAGGTCAGTAGAGCCTCGCGTCGAGTAAACAATTGATTTGACACCGGTGCGGCATTGAAGCTTAATCAACTGATTTGATATCAGACACTTTGTAAACTTGAAAAAAAAGAAAATAATACCTCGGTCTCAACAGCCCTAAGCGTTTGCGTGATATTGTTGATCTTCAACCTCAACGATATTCTCTTACCCTTGGTCTTGTGCTCCCTGTTCTCGTCGTATTCTTTGATGAGTTGGTCCTTGTCTTCTTGTGAGAGCTCACGGTGTCTTAATAACCGAGGGTCTTATATGAAAACGTGTAAGAATGTAATGACACCACAATTACACTGGATAAGACTTCTTGCCAGTCCTCGATTAACACGGTCTACGACTTTTCTTCTTTCGTGGTAGATAACGTGTGAGTTCTTGGGAGGCTCGCTAAACCAATCAGTCAGATTAACTTAGCCGGAGCTTTATTATCTCTGATTGAAACTATGGGATTGTCTAGGATATACCGTCTAGACACTTGAACTGGTTTCCTGAATATACGGTTAACTGTTGAGAAGCTGGTCTCAAATGTGACTACGTGGACCAAAGCTCGTGTTGGTCAATATACAAATACCTGGTGAGAACGCTGGTCTCACAAATAACAACAAATGACAAATAGAAAACAATGACAAATAACAACAATGACCAAAGCTCGTGTTGGTCAGTATACAAATACCTGGTGAGAACGCTGGTCTCACAAAAAAAAACAACGGTGACCAAAGCTCGTGTTGGTCAGTAAACACTACGTGGTGAGAACACTGGTCTCACAAAACTGGGTTTCTATCGCGAGAAACTTACGTAATCTCAAGGGAAACACTTTCCCTGCACTTGCCTGGACAGTTCTTACAAAGGAAATGGGCTTTGTAAGCAGCAATTTGTTCAGACTGAAGCTTCTTAGGTGAGAGTTCAATTTGCTCAAGTGGGAGATTCTTGAATGCAACAAGTGGGAGATCTATTTTTTTGGGGGAGAATGGGCTCTCCTTATATACATTTTGTGTGGGAATATTATGTAAGTAAAAAGGTGATGTAATGACTTCAGAATGTGGGAAGAATATTCCAAAAACTGGAGCAGAATGTTCTAGCAGGTGCAAAAGAACATTCCAGAATATTCATGGTGGGATAATGACATCATTCTGAGTCACTATGAGTCATTATGAGTCATTGGAATGTTCTAGCAAATTCCATGGAACATGACATCATACCCTGTAGGTACAATTTTATGAAGCATCTGATTAGTCAGAGCATCCTAATAGAAAAGCAAAGTAAAGAAAACACTAGAGAAAACAACTCAGAAATAATGGAACAAATAATAGTACACAATACGCGGGCTTTTTAGATAGGTTTTTGTTAGGCTTTGAACTTTTCTCTATGGGTTTCTCTAGCCAAAGTGAATAAGCCAAATGAAAGGCAGTACATTAACCTTCATTTTGCTTCTCATATCAACTAGGTCATTATGTGATTCCCATCTCACATATGACTTTTCTTCAAAACATGGTGGATTCATGAATCACTGAGGGAAAACTGAAACTATTGGACCAAGGTTTGATACCAAGGTATGGGTTGACTAGTCTGAGGACTAAGCTAACAGACTTTGTCTTTTAGGGGGATACCTAGTAGTCATGTCCATGCATGATTCCCAAATCATGCAGGACATCCGCGGGGCAGTGAAATCACAACTGTCCCCAGTTGTGTGCTCAATCATGCATAATAGTGGTGAATACATAAAATAATGAAATGGGATATGGGCACCAAATGTGGGTAAGGAAGAAGCTGTCAAGTACCTTGTTAAAATATATAGATTTTTGGCTCCATGATCATGTAAGCTTATCTTCTGATAAGGTCCATGCTCACAGATCTTTTTTGTTAAGCAGTCATATTTCTCTAAGTTCATGCAAACATAAGTACTATATGATGCATGTCCATAGAATATGGGTGGGTGGGATGGGTTGAAATAAGTCAATCACTTTCTATGACTGACTCATCTTCTGTTGATACATTGGCACTTGACAGGCATATGTCATCATCTTCCTCTTCAAGGGGATCTGCTAGTGATGGTAATAATGATAAATCTCTAGAGATATATGGTACGAGTCTAAATGCAGCTACACCACGTTTAGATAAGACACCATTCATTTCTCTTAAGACATAAGATCCACCCTTGGTTTGTCTTTCTACAACAAAAGGGCCTAGATAACGGGGTTTGGTTTTGCGATTGAGTTCTTTCTCAATCCTTGTATTGCGTACAAGGACTAAGTCTCCTTTTTGGAAAGCTTCGCGATGCATTCGTAGACGAAACTTGTGTTCAAATTGAGCTTTAGACTTGAACCGGGCCTTTTTCAAGGTCTTTGCAGCATGGTCTAAGTCTTCCTGCCGCCTTTCAATCTGGCGAATACGTAGGGATAAGAAATCTGCTGGATTCATATTAGCATGGAATCCTTCTACCATGAAGGTTGCTTCTGTTAGGTCAAATGGTAGAACGGGATGAACTCCATGTAACAAATAGAAGGGGGACCATCCAGTCACACGACTGGTGGTTATGTTTTCTGCAAACAATGCCTGCCTTACTTTCTCAGGCCATTTTGCAATATTCTTTCCACAACTTTTTACTATAGCTTCTCTGATATTGAAATGCCCTCTTTCAACAACTCCATTAGCTTGGGAATTGTAAGGGGAAATCTGGACATGGGGAATATCAACACGCATGAGGAGTTGTTCAAATGCTCCTTTAACTTCGGGTCCATTGTCAGTCACTACTTGACCAATGGCTCCATATCTGCAATACAAATCTTCCCAGAAAAACTTTGCCATAGCTTTAGCAGATGGGTTTCGTAATGCTCTTCCTTCAACATAGCGGGATAAATTGTCCCTAGCGAGTACAAGATTTTTGTGGCCTGCAGCTGAAGGCATCTTCATAATATCCACATAGATCTTGACAAATATAGTCGCAGGGGTAGAAACAGTAATGGGGATGTGCATTTTCTTTACACTTCTTACTTGACAATCATGACAAGACTGTACATGATGTTTAACGTCCGTGTACAAATGAGGCCAATAAAAACGGTAACGAATGGTCTCAAAAGTTGCTTGAACACCTTTGTGTCCTAGTTCTTCATGAGCTTTATGAAGAATTGCAGCTCTCTTGTCAGCATCAAATACTACAAGTAGAGGGGGTCGTCCAACTAATCTTTTAAACATCTGGTCACCACGGACAAAGTACTGAGTGGCCCGGGTAACAAATTTCTTACGCTGGGCAGTCTTTTCAAAATTAGGTGGTTCCAAGGTGGTGAGAAATTTATATATTTCTCTTAGGGTCTTCTCTTGACTAGTTGTTGAGGCTAAGACGGATGGTAGACAAGTGGGTTCATAGGAATACATAGGAATGGATAGTGAACGCGGTCGGTAGTCTTCCTGAGAGATTCCTGCAAAGAGAGCTATATCATCTAGCCAGGAGTCTTCATCAGGTTCTATTTCTTCATTTTCTGCTAAAGGTCTCCTAGATAATGCATCAGGACCTTTAAAACGTGTGGCAGGAACATGAACAAGGGTGAAATCGAATAGGAGTATTCCTTGAATCCAACGGTTAATGGTTGCATTAGGTTGCAAATCAGGTTCGTTAAGCATTCCCTTGATGTATTTTGCATCAACTTCCACAATTAGAGTCTGTACTCCAATAATGTGAAGCCTGAAATGCCTAAGGGCACGGAAAAGTCCATAGAGTTCTAGTTTTGGTTGGGAGTACCTTGACTCTGTATCTCCCATGGGTAGAGATCCATACCTGGCTGGTCTTCTTCTTCCTTCATCATCCAATTGGGACAATATAATTCCTACAGCCACAAAACTAGAATCCACTGACAAAATCACGGGGTTGGCTGAAGTATAATCTATACTTCTCATTGCTGGGGCAGAACATATCCTCTCTTTCAACTTTTCAAATGCTTCATCTTGTTCATCACCCCAAACAAAGGGTTCATCTTTCTTCCATAGTCGGGTAATAGATTTTGCTAGTTCTGAGAAACCTAAAATCCAAATACGAACTGTTCCACAAAGGCCCATGAAGCCTCTTGCTTCTTTGACTGTGGTAGGAATAGGCCAATTGAGGATCTTTGACACCTTTTCTGTGTCAGGGTAATCTTCCTTCTGGTGTACATCTTTGTCCTACTATTAGGACATCAGGCAAACATAGCTGTATTTTGGTAGCAGAAAATGTTGCTCCCACATCTTTTATGCGGTGCATTATTCTATGCACGTCAATAGCATGTTCCCAGATAAATCTTCTGATCCCAGGGTTTTCTTCTAACACCTCGGGATCTCCTTCTTCGTCAGGATAAGTAGACTTAGGTCCTTTGACCGGTAAGTCATCAATAAAAACATTGGCTACATGAGGAATTTCATCTTGCAATACAAAACTAGTGCACTTCTGAAATTCCGCAGGAGCATTGGTGTATCCCATAGGTAATGCAGTTAACCTTAGCAATCCTAAGGGTGTAAGGAAAGCTGTTAAATCTCTGCTGTCTGGGTGCATTTTCCTAGCATCAAATCCCCAGAACAAATCAAAAACAGTATAACATTGACGGCCAGCAAATGACTCTACAAAGTCATCTACAATCGGGATTAGGCCTGCATCTCGAATAGAAATTTTGTTAAGTGGTTGAAGGTCATGAACAAGTCGGAGTTTGCCATTCTTTTTTAATACACAAAACCAGCGTGAACGATAGGCTGATTGACTTGGCTCGTATACTCCTGCATTAATCTTGGTTCGTAACAAATCAATCACCTTTTCTCTAATACCGGGTGGAATAGGAATATTTTTGTATTCCCATGGAACATGAGGGATGGTTGGGATAATATAGGGGGTGAAATATGATTCCTTGAGAGTTCCTCGGTCAGTCTCTTCAAATGCTAGTGCATCTTGGTTTAAGTGCATTATATGTTGAAACAGTTTGACCTCCTCGGGCCAAAGAAAAGCAGCCGAGTTAATATTAAGACTCTTCATACGCTCAATGGTCAATCTACCATTAGGTATGAACTCAGGTGGATGTGGTGTCAAGGGAATCATAGTCTTCAAAGGATCATGGGGAAACTGCCTCAAGACTCGAGCATCTTGAGGGAAAGTACCGGAAACGGGCTTAACTTTCTTGTCAACTCGTTTATACATTGTAAGGATTGGGTTATAAGATGGGTCTGAAAGGGTGGATGGTTCATAATTTAAATATAAATCATCTTCATCAAAGTCCAGGAA